ATCACAGTTGCGGTTGTAGTGTAGAGGTTTTGGAGTTGTCTTAACTGGGTTTCTTGCTTTAGTAAAAATGGTATTCACCCTGAATACGCGAAATACCTCTCTCTCTGTAATGCCACACTTTATTATATTGCGTTTTTGTATAGCATTGATGGTTTCTATAATTGCGACGTACAGTAGTGGTATTAAGAGGTGAATTAAGTCGGGTAAGTCTCCACTGAAGGCCCAGGTACCAAATGCACGGCCCGCCACTGAGTAGTAGTAGTACATTGTATCACATGCATGTACTACGACTAACACATTTCTACTATACCGGATCTAAGTTCTTTCACATTGTTGGCAATTTTTACTCAAGCCCCTTGTGTGTAACAACTCATTGTATCTCCTTTCTTTGCTCTGATAAAATGAAGATTGTGTGCATTGCCTGGCACTTTTCTCAAAGGCAGGAAGCAGTGCTGCAGCAGTGGCATCTATTTATAGTGACACCACATGTGTTTCTGACCAGAGCGCAGCACAGCTAACCTTGTGGTGTGGTCTCAACTTCACTCAGTTGGAAAAATCTGTGGTAAGTGACACTTACTGTTTTAGGGGGGAATTACTCCAGTGACTTTGAGAGGTAACTCATTGTGTCATAAAAACTGTGTGCAATGTGCTCAGGACTAGGACAAATTCAGAATAATAACTATTCAGCCTGAGTTTTTCTCATGCCCTCTCTGCTGTCTACTGCACATTTGTGCTCTGTTGCTCACTTCTTTAATATTTCTGACGTGTTATTTTCTCAGAGTTCCCTAAAGGCTGATAAAGGTCTTATCACACATTCTCAGCAACAGTGGCAGAACTTTGACCTGTAACAAAACCCTCCTCACTTAATAGATTTACTTCAGCTCCTCCTTGTCCAACAGAAAAGAGAAAATATCCCTTATTGTTGGAAATTTTACAGGAGGGTTAGAGTGGCTTAAGACATAGCAGTGATCATTTTCTATATGTAGTCTTTGTTCATTAAAAAAAATCATTGTAGAGCAGTGGTACCCATGTTATAAACTCAGCTTCTCTCTCCGATCAGGTTGGCACTATGAACCGAGCCTGGGCTGTATTCAAGGCTCACCCATACATCAGTAACGTGCTAGGATACACAATGCTGTTTGCTTCTGCTGACATCATACAGCAGAGTGTGCTGGGTGGGAAACCTGTGTCAGGATCCACATCAGAGGATTCAGCTGGCATCGACTGGAGTCAGACGGCTCGAGTGGCAACTGTCGGTTTTTGTTTTCATGCCAACTTCAACTACCACTGGTTCAGAGGGCTGGAGAGGATGCTGCCAGGAGGTGGAGTAAAGGCAGTGACAGGGAAAGTTGTGGTGGATCAGCTGATCGCAGGTCCCCTCACCATCAGTGCTTTTTATATTGGTATGTGTTGCAGTGAGTATATAAATTCTTCATTGTGCTTATTTTTTTCTACTAATATCTGTCTACCTTTATGTTTTAGGTTTGAGTTTACTAGAAAACAAAGAGGATTTGCTTGAAACCTGGAGACAGAAATTCTGGACATCTTACAAGGTACATAATGAAGTCAGAGGTTGTTTGTGTTAAACTAAATAATAAAAATGATTGCAACATGCTCAGAATAATGTGTCTGTCTATCTGTGCATGTCTTTAGGCTGGAGTAATATTTTGGTCAACAATGCAGGTGAGATATTCTTGTATCATTATTATGTACTCGGTGGCAGCACACACAGATTCATGCATATGCACACCTGTAGAATGACTGCATATATTTTGTTTGCTTTCATCATCTCAGGCAGTGAACTTTGCTCTGGTTCCACCTGTGGCACGGACAGCGTTTGTGGGAGGCATCGCATTGACTTTCACAATCTTCCTCTGTCACTTCAGACAGCAGCATGACTGCAAACTCAAATAAAACTGAAATCCTCAGCTCTGTGATTGGAGTTTTTGTTAGATAATGACAATAGTTGAGACTTATTTAAAAACAGAATTTTAGTAGCAGAGTCATTAGATTTACAGAGAACACCAGGAAGGGATCCTAAATAAGACAAATCTTACATCTTAGCCCACATGAATTATTGTTCAGATGTGGTGTGTTTTTATCTGATTTTAACTTCCCTGTCTCCCCAAGACAATGATGTACATACAGTATGCAGGTGTCAGATACAATCATGCAACTCATTTAATCATCCTACTGAAACTCTTGTTTTGGCTATTAAAATAAAAGATTTACTTTTTGTTCATATATTGGGAATAAGTAAAACATATTAAAAAAAAATTAAAATGATTATATTCTAAGGTGACACACGCTGCTTATCACAGAAGAAAGTGCGAGCAATAGTCTCAACTCCCAAGCCAGTGAATAAGAAACAAATGAGGACATTCATGGGCATGGCGGGGTACTGCAGGCCCTGGATCAATGACTTTGCAGCTATGACCCGGCCTTTGTATGACATGATGTTGGCCCAGAGCCCAGAGCCTTTGGAGTGGACTCAGGAAGCAGAAGCAGCGTTTGCAGACACTAAGCATGCTTTGCTCTCAGCACCAGCCCTTGGTTTACCTGACTACAAGAAGCCTTTCCACCTGTATGTGCATGAGTCACATGGTTTTGCACAAACTGTCTTGACACAGCAGCACGGCAGTGCTAAACGACCTGTTGGCTATTTTTCCACCAGACTTGATCCCACAGAGCGGGGATTTCCTCCATGTCTCAGAGCTGTTGCAGCAGCAGTCTATGCAGTGGAAGTCACATCTGACCTGGTCTTGTCCCATGAATGTCATCTGTATGTTGCCCATTCGGTGCATGCAATGTTGTTAAGAGCAGGAACTTAGCATTTCTCAGCGGCAAGACAAAGTAGATATGAATTGGCATTAACATCCTTACCTAATATCATTATTCACAGATCACCACCTTTGAATCCTGCTAGCATGTTACCAACATCAGAAGATGGAGAGCCACATGATTGTTGTGCTGTGGTACAAGAAACATACACTGGTCGTTCTGACATGTTTGACACACCTTTACCACTCAGTGATGATCCCATAGTGTATTTTACAGATGGCAGTTCATCCAAGAACCTGCAGGGAACTCTGAATACAGGTTATGCAGTTGTTACGCAGTCAGAAGTTGTTGAATCAGGAAAGTTACCTAATCATTTTTCAGTTTAGCAGGCAGAGCTGCATGCATTAACAAGAGCTTGTCATTTGGCTACAGGACAAAATGTTACTATTTACACAGACTCACGCTATGCTCATGGTGTTGCACATGATTTTGGTAGTATTTGGAAGCATAGAGGTTATTTGACTGCAGCTGGTACTCCTATTAAGAATGGTCCACAAGTTAAAGAGCTCATGGATTCATTGATTTTGCCAAGCAAATTAGCTATAGTAAAATGTGAAGCACACACTAACAAAAATGATTTTGTTTCTTTAGGAAATGCCTTTGCTGATTCAGTTGCTAAACAGGCAGCACAACAAGGGGATGATGCAGTAGTTAAACAAGCTGCCAGAGCAGTAGCTCAACAGCCCCTAGCCCAAAAGTACGATGTAGGACTGATGCAGGCACAAGCGTCAGCGGAGGAAAAAGCTAGGTGGCAGCAACAAGGTTGTATGTTTGTAAATAATTTGTGGATTTCACCAGCAGGACAAGTTGTGTGTTACCTTATATTGTTAAGCTTGTGCACGGTGCTGCGCATGTGCACAAAGGGGGGATGCAGGACATATTTTTGCGCACCTGGTATCATGATAGTATAGCAAAGGCATGCGCAGACTGGACAGAACAATGTGTCATTTGTCAACAGTACAATGTAGGGAGAGCAGTTAAGGTCCAAAGGGGGGCGCACCCCAGGCCAGAGGGCCCTTTTGTAAATATGCAGCATCAGGAGAGATATATGATCCAAACATTAACACACAAGGAAATACTGACAGGGACATTATTATAGCCACAGGTGATGAAACTAGAAAAGTGGTAAATTTGACTGAGGGAGGTATAAGAGAACACCAAATACCCCCCATAGTCAATATAGCTAAAGTTAGTAAGGTAATCATATGTGCAGGTGTATGACTTCTCTCCATGCATGAAATAAAGAATTATTTGAAGCTACTCTCCAGTCTCCAGACATCTTTATTGGGTCCTGCCCCGTTCCCACTACCACAGGGTCAAATCTAAGGCACTTTAAAACAGTGAGTGAAGGAAGCAAATAAAAATACTACAAGAACACAATATAATGCAGAGACTAAATATGCTATGTGGGAGCCGTGGAGTGCAAATACATGAGATACATGAGATTTTATAAATTATATTTATTTTTTTCATAACTTAAGGACTCAACAGTACAAATTAATGAAATAAATCAAAATCGTCCTTTAAATTCTCAGTAATAGGCTGTAAATCTCTCTTGCTATTTCTACCACTGGAGGCACCATCCTACATTCTCAAAGTAGTTTAGCTTTGGCCAACAGGAAGTGAACACTTAGTAACCAATCAGAAACCCGAAAGTTCTGAGCACTGTTTATCGCGAGACCTCGACTCTTCCTTTTCCCTTTTCGCTCTGATTACAAGATGGTAGGTGCTTCTAGTACATAATTTCACACATGATAGTTTGAGTATCCAAGGTCATCTAGTGATTTAAAGAAACTAGTCTTCTTATTTCCAAGCTGCACTGGTTGTAAACATGATTTACGTTACACTGCTGTCATGATTTTGTGTTATTTGGCCACCTAGTTCATATTAGCTTACCCTTCCTTCGTACCGACTTCAGTGCTATACAGATAGCGGCTTCACGCCTTGAGGCTGATTTGAAGCGCGGTTCGGGGGTAGTTAAAAATGCGGAATGTTACGTGTAAAGAATTTATATTTTACCAAAGTCTGCCTGTGTTCGATCATACATTAAGTGAAGGCTTTTTTGCTGTGCCATTCATGATAGCAGTTAGCTGTGGAGTGCCAACGTGTGAACCGGCCTCTGGCAAATGTTAAGCTGAGATTTTAATGTAAAAGTTTATTTGGTGACGTTAGTGAGTCTGCTTATAGTTTGTTTTATTAAGCGTGTGGCTTGTCACAGTGCAATGGATGAAAGGTGGAGCCTGGATGTAAGAGATGTCATGTTTTTGAGGTGAAGCTTAGGTGTTAGCGTGTTCCTGTTTGCTTTTCAAGGGAGTTGACATCAGGCACAACAAGGACCGTAAGGTGCACAGGAAAGAGCCAAAGAGCCAGGATATCTATCTGAGGCTCCTTGTCAAGGTAATTATATATACACATGGGTTAATCATTGGAATAATAACACCAGTAATAGTAGTAATTGTCAGCTCAACTTTCCTGCTGGGTCTGTGCAGTTGTACAGGTTCCTGGCTCGTCGCTCCAATGCTCCCTTCAACAAGGTTGTCCTGAGGAGGCTCTTCATGAGCAGAACCAACAGGCCTCCCATCTCCATCTCTCGCCTGGTCAGTCTCATTTCTCTCACCCAGTCCACCACTAATGAATTCCGTGTTTGTCCTCAGTGGAGTTAGTTTTATTGTTTAAGCCTATTGTAATATGGAACAAGTTCTTTTTTTTGACAGTGGAATGTAATTTTGACAAGGCACACTCACAGAACTGTTTCAGCATCAGTTGGGTGACATTAAGATTCAGTATGATCAATGTTTTTAGGGACGCACTAGTGATGTGACAGATCCACATCATGTTGCTTCTGTGTCAATGTCTAAAATTCTGTGTTTCTGTAATCAGTTTAATTTCTTTAGTCAGTGGACAAACTAAGTGCCACAGCATTCCTGACCTCACACAAAAATAATCAGATGAGTTCTGTGCAGTGAGTCCCAGAAATTAAATCTGGGGAAAAGAGAGAACTGGTATCCAAGAAGTACTTTGTATGTCAGATACACTTAGTTGAGATATTGGTAGAACTATAGTTGTATTGGTGCATCCTTAGTTGTTGTTTATATGGTTGTAGTTTATATATCGTCTGTAATTGACACTTGGTGTTCACTTGTTCAGACATTTGTTTTTTCATATTGAGTTTCTGACTTTGCTTCCCCTTTCCCAGATCCGTAAGATGAAGATGCCTGGTCGTGACAACAAAATTGCTGTTGTTGTGGGAACAGTCACTGATGATGTCAGGATTCAAGATATCCCCAAGCTCAAGGTAATGCCTCCTTTGTAGAGCAGCAGAATTCACCCACTGCTGTATTTTTCCCCTGAAAGATACCCTTCTGTGCACCAAGAATCTCCCTACAGTACTGCAAAGCTGTTGGCAAACTCATGTCGTGTTTGTCCCACAGATCTGTGCTCTGAGGGTAACCGATGGTGCCCGGCGCAGAATCCTGAAGGCAGGCGGTCAGGTGATGACCTTTGACCAACTGGCTTTGGCTACTCCCAGAGGACATGGTACAGTGCTGCTGTCAGGTAAGTAAACATGAATTAATTTCCTAACTATAATACAATTTGCAATTGCAGAAGCTAATGTAAGCAGTTATTGTTGACAGCGCTTCAAGCACCACACACTTTACAAAAACAATGAAAAACACTTGAGTCCACACGTTCGCTGCGTCATGTAGCTTAGACTTTTGTATGTGCGTATTAGGAGTGCTTGCAGCATGTACATGACTGCTGCACCTCAATTTAAGCTGCCTAAAAATGTTTTAGCAAAGTCAAAAATAAGATTTCAATGTAGTGCTGTGCGTAGCGCACATATTCGCTCAGCCCCCTTTCCCGCTCTTATTTGCCTCACACACACGCACACAAACGCATGACAACAGGCAATCTGTGAATAGCTTATCTTTTCTGTGTTTGCTTTTATAACACAACTCTGTCAGTTGCCTTTTCTAATGTTATTACTGTAGCAAGCTAGTAAGGCTGGCTAAGCTAGCATTAGAATGCAGCTGTTGCAGAGGTTAGCACACTGTATATAGCATGGATGTATATGGGCTGCTCTGCAAGTGGATAAAGTTAATGCTAATTCCTAAACTCTTGACACTGAATTTTTGCCTTTTCAGTTCAAAGGAATATCGAAAAATACACGTGGGAAAGCTTATCGGTCTGATCAGTGTGATTAGTGATCCACTTGATTCATTTTGAATATTTACTGGCTTCAACCGGTGCTACTGGAGCAGCAAGAGAGGGTCAGGAAAAGATAGCTGAAGAGAGGACATGTACAGTAGGAGAGGGGGAGGGCAGCAGCCAACATGCTGCTTCTGTGAGAGAGCTATTGCAGAACAGCACAACAGTAAGCACAGAGGCTCAACAGCTACTACCTTTTTTCCCCCAACTGTCCATGCCCTATCCACTGCTGATTACCTGGATCAGGTGTGTTCAGTCAGTCAGAAGCTGGAAGATACCATCTTAGATGAAGATGGAGTGAGGAAAGACAAAGTGAATAGGTATTTGCCGGACTTGCCCGTCCCTGCTCTATAGTATTACTATATATTAGATTAGATTCAACTTTGTTGTCGTTACCCATGTACAAGTACAAGGCAATGAAATGCAGTTTAGCATCTAACCAGAAGTGCAATAACAGCATTGAAGAGTGCACAGTATCTACAATATGAACAGTCAGAACTAATTTACCAATTAATATGTACAGTTGATATTTACAGTAAGATATACAACAATATGATATACAACAGACTATGGATTCACATTACAGTAATGGACAGGTACATTAAGCTTATGGAACACTAGTGCAATGGGATGAGATGGAATGAAACAGTGCAGAATAAGATTATAATTTACATGAGTGAACAGTTCAATGGATGTAAATAGTGCAAAGATAAATATGGAGTGTCTGCATATGAACAGTGTGCAAATGAATACAGGGCAGTATCCTGTGAGTAGAGTATGTGCAAATTAACAGATCACTTCAGTGTTACAGGAAAAACAAGTAGATTAATTCTGTGGAAAACACTGGTTTGTGTATTGTACTTGAATGCTTCAGTTTTAAGTAAATCAGCAAATGAAATATGTTGCTTCCATTAATATTATTAATAAGAAACAATTAATGTGCTATTAACAAGAGCGACCCAGTACAATTTGAGACTTAAACACATTTTTTGATAGTCTGCTTATCGTTGTCAACAAAACACCCCCCAAAATCCAGATATTTTTTGTCGATATCGAACATCCCCATATTGAGAGAATTGTTCTAGTTCTCACTGAACTTACTTAGATCTCTGGCGCAATAAAGTAGAGATGGGCAAACTTATCTTTAAATGTGGTATGTGAAACATTTATGAATGAAAGTTAGATTTTTATACAGAAGCGTAACAGATTTCAGCTGTTAAGCATTGGCATTTACCCTTTTAAGATGGTCTGCAGATTAGTGTTATATTTTGAGATGTTGTATAGCATTTGTAACATCTCGAAATCTGTGACATTTGTTCTCCAGGACCCCGCAAAGCCCGAGAGGTGTACAGGCACTTTGGGAACGCCCCTGGAACCCCTCACAGCCACACCAAGTACGTATACAGTTATGCTGTTAAATGCACAGCAAAATATTTAAGTAAGGCCTTCTTTCCAGTCGGGCTGCCACAGAGGCATGACGAGATGACGACTTTTAACTCTTCTTCTGGAAATTATTTTGACGAGTAGGCTGTCTTGCATTTGCAGATAGAATATAAAATATGTCTTTACACATTCGGCTCTGTGGCATTGTCCGTCCTGCCCTTTTTCTTTTTTGTCGTCTTGTCCTGTTCTTTGTCTCATAAAAGTGACTGGCTGTACCTTCACTGGCTCTTTTGGGGGTCGATGGTTTGATGTTAATCACTAATTATAATGGCTAATCATCAGAAATATCAGTTGGCTCTTTGCTAAGAGTAATTTATCTAGTAATTAAGCTGTTAAGCAGTTTTTCTCTCCCGTTTTTCTAAGTGTCAATACATTCAAGGGTGTCAAATCTGCCTGGTTTGATTTAATCAGTGTTTGATGTTGTTACACATAAGCAGGAGTTGTGGGGTTTGAGAGGGATTGTTTGTTACAAAAGTTATCTTATGTTCTTGTTGATATTCTAATACACAGTACCGTACTTGTTTTAGTGAATTTCACATATAGAGATAAAACAGCTCTTATATGCACCTAATATGTACCTCAACCCTGAAAATTATACATTGTTTACGCCACAGAATTTTTATAACTTAAAATTCCTTTGTAAGTAAAGTAAAAATAAGTGTAAGAAAGATTGGGGAAAGTGTTATCTGCTGAGATGTTCAATTGAATTCAGGCAAAATATATAAATAAATAGAATTGGGAGAAATTTGGAGAAACGATAATTGATAAACTGTACTCTGGATTCTCAAAACTATCTTTTAACAATGCAACAGCCATGCCCTTCTCTATAGATGACAGTTATTATTATTACACAAGATGATCTACATACCGTGCTGTGTTTTATTCAAATACTTCTATATCACATTGAATCTATTGACAAATTTTGGAGTTTTGTTTATTAATTGTTGCTTTATAGTTTTTAGCAGGAGAAACCCACTTCCATTGGGCTCCATTGTACTAGCACTAAGTCACAGCCAATGCTGTGTAGAACACTAAATAATGAGGTAATACTGAAGCTTAATGAAAAAATGTTTTGGTTTTAACTGTGACCCTTAAACCTTTTTATTAATGGAGTGTTAGGTTAGCTCTGTCCTGATTTGTAATGCAACATTGATGTTGAGAAAATAATAAAGCTAAGCTCATATTAGATACAGTACAATGTATATTTGTTTGATCATATTGTATGAATGTTGAGTTTGTTTTGTCATCACTCTCCTTTCTCTTCTCCAGACCCTACGTCCGCTCTAAGGGCAGGAAGTTCGAGAGAGCTCGTGGTCGCAGACCAAGCCGTGGGTACAAGAACTAGACTGTCTTTTTGTTTTCCATGCAGTCTGATAAAAATAAAAGATTGGCTGTACAAAATGAGTTGTCTTGTTGTTTTATTGGAGAGCCAACGCAACCTTGCATATGCATCTTGTCGCTGACATTGTCATAGGCAGTTTTCAGCCCTTATTGAGGCTGTAAGTCAAATCTTGTGATCAATATTGATAGGAGCTGGAATTGGGGGAAAAAAACAACAGAGGAAGTGGTGGTTTGTCAATGATTGGAGAATGTCGGTGGGTGTTGCAATGTTTTCCATCTAGTCATTGGATTTCCTCTCTGCTGCTCAAAGCTGCAGCTCTGCCGCTCCGCGAACTTCCTGCACAGAGCCACAGCTCTCAGAGCTTCCACTGTGTCGACGCGAGAAGGGAGACAACATGAGGTAGCTAACTGTAGGCTTTTTCTTTATGTTTCTGTTGTGCTGTATTAACTTTGCTTTTTCTCATCAGACACTGGCATAAACAGAACTCCTTGAGCTAGCATTATTTGTCTCAGCTTGATAGATCATAGCTAGCTAACGGCATTGGCGTTAGCTTGGATACCTCATAATGAACAAGAGACGTGAAAACGGCAGATGCGGGCTTTTAAGTGTAACCACAGTGAGGTCTAGTGTTTTTCGGATGAATATAATTTAATGGTGTGTTAAGGCGGCGTGAACCTAGATTAAATGTTAAGTAAGGAACTGACAGGTACCGCTAACTGTGTCAGGCTGCAGTTAACGGTTAGCTAACATTTGCGGTCATGTCACCGTGATTTGGCGTTGAATAGTATTCCCGTACAATATTAAGTTCTTTCTGTTGACAACTTCGGATGCTGTAACGCTTATGAAATGGTCTCTTCAGCTTGGCTATGCTAAAACGTTTTAAAGTAAAGCCAGGTTTAGTAAGTTAGCTGGCCAGTAGCGTGTCAACCTGACAGCTAACGGTAACAGTGAAATAAAGCTTTTATTTGAGATAATCGGGGTTAATGATCAACAAGCCTTTAACTCTGCTGTTAAGTAAGTGTGTTACATACCCCGTAGCATACAGTACTGTTCTCGAGTTCAGAGTTTAAGCTAACCGAAACTTGCCCCAGAATACCCCGAAGTCACTCCATATACAGCAGCCTCATTGTGTGGAAACCAAATTAGGCTGCTGATTATTATTTCTGGGTGCCCCCGCCCTGCGTTCCAAGGTCTTAACTTAAGGTGCAACAATGGGCATCACTTAGGCTCTTTTTGTGTGTTTTTATCAGAACAGGACATCATTTGTCTGCACCACAGCTTGCATAATGTTCCCTAGCTGTTATAAAACTTGAAAGAAAGATGTGACGAAATTATTGATTAGCTTCGTAATGAAACTCCAGGAACTGTACTTTGAGGCACCAAAGTCTAATGAGCTGGACTTTGCTGAAGAGGAGTCCAACATTAGTGTACCCTCTTATCTACAGTGTATACACACATTTATATAATAGTAATATCCCTTTATTGTGCTTTTACATTATGTGCAGGGAGACCCTTTGGGAAATGATTAAACTAGTCATTTATATGTAATGCAGTTATGTAAAGTTGCTTGTGAAGAGAGTCCAACGCTCGTTTGATACTGTATATGTATTTAATGATCAGGCCCATTGTAAACCTGCATCTATATTGGGAGAAAGATTGTTAGGCTACATACTAATGTTCCAAAACCTCTAAAACCCAGTGCCATGTAGGTCAGCAATTTGCACAAACTCAATCCCAGACTCAGATTTTTTTTTTTAAGAGACACTATCAACAGATGTTGTTAGAAAAAGCCCTGAATATGAAAATACCAACTCATTGTGGTAATTGTCATGCAGCCTTTCATCCACAATAAAGCCGTGCCTCAGCAAAGCATTTTGAGGATGTGTAATTCTGAGTCATTCTACGCCTCAACAAAGACGTACCAAAGGTCACTGAGAATTATGGATGTTGTATAGTTACTGCCTATAGCTGTAATCTGTTTTTCTTATAACAATTCTTCTCCATACTTGTTGTGTCCTACGTGTGATATTAGGAATATTCTTCGTTGCTCAGTGAAATCCAAGTAAAGTAGAAGCAAAAATGTTTTTATTTATTTGGTTTGGTGTGCTTCCTTCTTTAATGTCAGTCTCTTACGCATCTGCTCTAAAAATACACATTGTTTTTCCACTATTACACTTGATTATTGTCCTTCTTCCATCCTCATACAGGAACAAAGTTCTTTGGGAGGGAACGTGAGGCTTGGCACCAGAACATTACCATGACATGAACCAAGGACCTGCCTGGAGCTGTCTCCTTGTTTGTCTTTTTTGTTGTTGTTCTTGATGTTGTCTAGTGTTAGTCACCTGTCTTACCCAGTGTTCAGGAGTAGATGATGAATTAATGAAGGTGTGTTTTGCTGAGATGAAATTTAAATGAATCACACTACTGGCTAAAGGACTGGCCTAGTCACTCCTCTTATCACTGAGATTGCAGATAGCAACACAGGTATCAAAGGTATATCTTTTGACATTAATTGCATTTCAGCAGCATTTATCTGATGACTTTACAGAAATCTTTACATATGTGTTAATTTAATTAAATTATTGTAGCCTCCTTGTCTAAACAAGGTGTTTTTGTCTTGTTCACGCTCAATAAGTTTTTCAATGCAAGAGTTTTATTTTTGTTCATTTATGTAATTATTTAAAGACTTTATTAATATTGAATAGCTGCTCAGCTGTTTTATATTAACACAATTGGCAGCTTTATGTTGTAATGTAAACTTTTTTTACATATGCACTCTTTGTGAGAAACACTTCTGTTTAAATGACTGATCTTCTAGTAAGAAATTACATTTTTAAGTCATGTTGGTTTTGAATATGTAGAAAATGTGACTATTTGTTTTTCACCTGTAAACTGTAGAAACTGACAGCTTGTCAAGTTAAACTGAATTGACACCACAGGAGCTTTGTAACTGTGATACAAAGACTGATCTTTAGCAGTTCCCATCTTCACTGGAAAAATAGGCTGAACAGAGGAACCTCTGAACTGGAAGTAGTTATTTTTCTTTTCAAATGAAGACTTACTTGTGAGATCGACAGATGGGAACCGAGACTCAGAGCTGATTTATTTTTTATTATTATTAGGTTTTTTTATTCAAGCACTGAGGAAGAATGATTTCCAGGAGATTTCAGGCCTAAAGGTCTCAGACCGATAGTCAGATACATTTCAATTTTCCCTGCAAACCTTGAGAGCTGCCAGACTTTATTCTTGAAACCTCTAACTGTAGAAAAACTCCCTAAAGCTTTTTAGACTTCATTTTCATCTGAAACACTTGGCCCACCTCTGCAGTGAGGATGCGATCCCCAGAACCTTCTTCACCCTGTCCTGGAGAAGCCCTCCTTCATGGCCAGTTTGCCAGCTGGGGATCAGGCAGTAACACCAACAATGACAGCTGCCCCAACAGTCCTGGTGGCCCAGGTGGACTTTCCCACGCTGTCTCCCCTACTCTGGCTCTGGCCTCCAACTATGCCTTGACTCTCACCCACACCCACATACACATCCAGCGCCTGTCACTGCGGCCGGGAAAGGAAGCCCGTCTGCTGCTGCCTTTGTCAGAGCTAGTGGGGTGCAGCTGCCCTCGCATCCCTGCACCCCCTCTCCTGGTGCTGTACTGGTACCCCCCAGGCAAACGACGGAAAGGGGTGTCCCGACGTAGGCAGGTGAGGGCCTACCTGGCAGAAAGCAGGCCTGAAGCTGAGAGGTGGTCGGCTGCTGTGCAGTGTCTGCTCAGAGGGGTGACTGTCACTGCTGACACAGGTGAGTGTGTATCTCACAGGTGGCTTGCTTATTCAGCCTGAGGATGTGTCATGGTTTTTACTTATTACAGGACCATACTGGTGACTAGTAGTCTATACATTTTCTGCACTTCTGTACAACCGTGTACACTGTGTTCTTTTAGCAGTTTTTAAATGAGATGCATTTTCTTACATTTTAGGTAACTTTTACATCAGTATGTCATAATAATCAACTTGTGGAGACCTACAAAATGGCTTCAGATTAAAATTTATTTATGACTAAACACTAGGGCTGTAACTGAGGATTATTTTTAGAACTGATTAATCTTCTACAAAATAGTGGAAATACCAATCACAATTTTCTATAGGGCAAGATGATATCATCAAATGTCTTGTTTTGGCCAAAGCCCAGAGATCTTCAGTTTTATAGATCTAAAAAAAATGGAGAAAAGCTGCAAATGTTCACATTTGAGGACAAATTATTTGGTCATCAAAATAGTTGATTCATTTTACATTGACTAATCAATTTCACTAGTAATTGTGGTTGTAGTGAGCAACATGTTGTCATTAATGATACTGATGTTGCAGCAATGCTAATTTCCTGAGTTTGCTCTGTTTTTATCAAGGAACTTTGCTTTTTGATATGCTTGGTTTTGTTCAGAGAGCAGTACTGATAACAGTGTTCGAAAGATTTACTTTGGCAGACCTAAATGTTTGTCAGTGTTAAGTCTTAAATACCTGTTGTTTACAAGAAAGCACATAACGTTGTCTCATGCCAACTCCTTTGTAAATGCTTACTAAATATAACTTAATATCACAGTGACCGAAGACGTGTCTGTATGTACAGTGAACATATTTTGTCACTGAGTGGACATAGTTCAGAGTTTTTTAGCAAAACAAAGTGGGGCTAATGCTACACTTGAGACTGAGATTTATTGTTCAGAGTTTTTAGTTTGGATTTGTTTTTGTTTGTTTTTATAGCTACATCTTTTACTTCAGTTTACTTATCTAATACTTCTTTTTTCTTTGCCCTTATCTATCTGGCCCACATGGCCTGTATCATTCAGTATCAAAAGAGACAGGGAGGGTGGGACGGCTGCAGTTTACCTCCCCTTCCCATGCACTCAGTAATCAAACAGATAGCAAGGTCCTGTTCATTGTTTATTTTCGCTGTGTGTGCCTCTGCATGCTCCTGCCTTTCTCACTATCGCCTATGCGTCACACACATAACCAGCATCTCCAGTCTTTTCCTGTCTCCTTCCTCTTTTCTACTTTTAACCCTTAATCCTCTATCAGATATTCACTGTCTCGCCTGCTCTTGCTTCATTTATACTGTGTAGCAGTTCATCCTGTTTTCTTCAGTTTTGCCAGTCTTCTGTTTGACCTCTAGTTTATTTTCTGCCTTACGCGTGTAGCCTTCATCCTTCGTTATTTATCTATTACAGCTTTCTTACCCAATCATTTCATTTCTGGATCACTTCCTGTCTTGAATTTGTAAATTTAGATGTTTATGGGCATTAAAGTTGTGGTTAATTGGGTTTTCTGTTGATTTGATTTATTGTAGTTTGTTGCATAATTCAGCTTTATCTGCCATGCAGTCATTCTCCTGTTGGCATCCATTTCTACTATACCAAATTTTGGAGCTAACCTAAGAAGCTATTTATTTATTAAAGGACCATACCTGGGCTGATGAAAAAGTAGAATGTCTCATTTTATTGCTTCGGCACAGTGGTTAGATATATAGTCATTTATCTTTGTCTCCCTGTTTTATGAACTTCTGAGCACCTATTCTTTACCATCAATCTAAATGTTATTTAATGTTAGTTCGGGTGACAGTGTTTTGCATCGTTCATCTATTAGCTTTAGGGGGCTGAAGACTAGCCAGCTAACAATGGGCAAGAGGAGGGGTACGCTATGGATAGATCACCAGTCTATCACAGGGGTGACACATAGAGACAGACAATCACTCACATTCCCAGCTGAGTCTCCAGTTGACCTAACCTGCATATCTTGTGGGAAGCTGCAGTACCTTGAGCAAACCCACACAAGCACTGGGAGAACATGCACACGCCACATACAAAGGCCCGTGTGAAGTAGATCCTGTGAGGTGAAATGAAGGAGGCTCAATTGGTTGAATGCACTCAAGTCCCAGGTTGGGCAACACTATAATGACAAGCTTAGTTTACTCCACAGTTGGCTGGCTTTGAAAATGCTGTGAACCTTTAGTTCCTTTCTTTGTTCTGGACAAAAACTGAGTTTTATCTTATTCATGCTCTTCCTTATTTTATTTTATTTTTTTATACAGAATTTTCCAGAAGTCTGCTACCTCGGCCCAGACGACTACTGCTCTTGGTAAATCCCTTCAGTGGGAGAGGCCAGGCAATGCAGTGCTGTCAGACCCACATCCTGCCAATGATCAGAGAGGCCAGTATCAGCTACAACCTCATACAGACAGGTAAGACTCCACATCAAGGGGCAGATAATAGGTTTACATAGAACATACATATGTAACAGGTGTTAACTAACTATAATGAATGTGTCTCAGAGCGTCACAACCATGCGAGGGAGCTTATCAGAGAGATATCACTCCCAGAGTGGGATGGCATCATCATTGTTTCTGGGGATGGCCTGCTGCATGAGGTGTGTAATGCTTTTGTGAGAGTGCAAATCATGGTGTAAATTAGGGGGTATGAACAAAAAGGAAAGAACTTCTTATGTGTTTTTGTACTAGTGCATGTACAGTGTAAACTCTGTCCACTGATGGGATTTTCTCAATTTCAGTTTTCTCTCTTGTGTTACATAGGTAATTAATGGGCTGATGGATCGTCCTGACTGGGAGCGAGCAATAAAAACACCTGTCGGCGTTCTGCCCTGTGGTTCTGGGAATGCACTGGCTGGCTCCATCAATCACTACGCAGGGTAAGCATGTATCTTATTTGTATTGTAAAGGGGAGTACTGTGTCTTTCGAGTTTCAGTTTCTTCTCAACCACCTTAAAAATGTGGAACCAGACAAAACAAGAAGTGCTGGGATAGTCTTCACTCTTCTCTCTGAATTTTCATATTAAAGCTGATGCTGTCGATAACCTGTTCTGTTGTTGTACACAAGATGTAATCTTAGCATTATAAGGTCTGTCATATCACATATTTGATATGCCATCTTGCAATAGAGTTTTTTGTACTTTGTCTTTAAGGCAAACTAAAAAAGACAAAGACAGATTTGATGAATAAGTTAATTTATTCTATTATAATTATTGAAAACTAGATTAACTTGGTTAATAACTTAAAAAGTTTTGTTCCTTTAAACAATAGAGCACACACTTGTTGTTTTTGACAACAACTGCCTATCTACACCGATTGCACAGTTCACTTTATCTTTAGTAACAAGAGGTCTTGTTATTGGTTTACATCTCCTGTAGGTATGACATGTGCCTTCGGGAGCCCCTCCTTTTGAACTGCTGCTTTTTGCTCTGTCGCGATGGTGTCCAACCCATGGACCTGGTCTCTGTGACGACAAGTCCTGCTCCCTCTAACAACAGTCATACTGCAGCACCCAGGAGACTGTTTTCTTTCCTTTCTGTTGCGTGGGGCTTTGTGTCCGATGTGGACATAGAGAGTGAGAGGTGCGTGTAGTTGCTTATGTTGTAAAAGCATTCACTGTTGGCTTTGGTTATCTAAACATAACTCTAATCTTATAATGTAATGTATAATATTTCTTGTATTCAAAAAAGAATAGCTTTACTTAAATTTTGCTTGTTCCAGGTATCGTGGTCTGGGCTCAGCTCGCTTCACCCTGGGCACCCTGGTGCGCATAGCTTCTCTCCGTTCCTACAAGGGTCGCCTGTCCTACCTGCTGCCCTCTATTGTCCCCACATCACCAGATGCCACACCTCCTCCTCCAAGGAGACCTCTCTCCCGCAGTATCACGGAAGGCCTCGAAGGCTTCTGCCGAACACCCATCCATCGCACCTGCTCTGACATGGGTATCAGTGAACAGAGAAGCCTGCGTAAGGGGGAGGGAGAGAGGGAAAAAGAGGAGAGGCAGCGAGAAAGAGAGAGGAGAAGGGAGAGGGCCAGAGGAGGAGGAACTGGTGTGGTGAGGGCAAGCAGCCTGGCGGAGGACAGAGAGAGGGAGAGAGAGATGGAGATGGAAGCAGAAGAGAGGTCAGGGATGAGTTCAGAATCAAATGAAAGGGATGGATGCAATATCGGGAGGGAAGAAAGGTTGGCAGGGATCAAAGATGAAAAAGAAGATGAGGGAAGAGTAGAGCAGGACTCCAGTGAGATGGAGGAGGAGGATACAGGGAAGGATGGGGAAAGCAGTGGTTCTGTTGAGGGGGAGGGAGCACTGCATGCAAGAGAACTGGGAGAGAGATATGGGGCAGACATCGGGCAAGAGGCAGATGAAGATGGAGAGGGTTGTTTCATTTACCAAGATAACCTTCAGGCAGCCAGACAGGCAGTAAGAAAGAATTCTGCCCCTTCAAGCCAGATAGCCAGCGCTCTTTTCAACCAGCCGCCCAGTCCGCAGATGGAGGCAGATTCTGGCACCTCGTATGGAGTAGAGGATATGAATGGAACCTACTACCCAAAAGAACCCTACCCACTGAACGTTGCTCGAGAGCGAGCTCTCACCATTTCTTCTCCCTTTCGTCACTCTCCTTTCTCATGCAAACCTAAGACACTGGACCAAAACCAGAACGCCTCCAGGCCAAGGCCCCTCTCCCTCCTCCAGCACTCCCACTCAAACTCCCTCCCACCTAAACTCCCCTCCCTGTCTCTTCCTCTTTCTCCCACACCCCCCTCTTCCCCATCTTGTGCCTCCCCACACTCCTCATCCTACCTTGCCCCCCGTCCTAACACCCCAAGCTCCACCTCACCCTCACCCTCTCTACGCACACCGTCCTCGTCATTTAACTTTGAAATTGCTGAGCCAGCAGGACCCCTTAGGAACCGTCCTTTTGGCTCTCTGCCTTCAAATCTCCCTAGGGATGATTTGCTACCCCCCCTCGACCAACCCCTTCCCAACAGAGACTGGGTTACAATTGAAGGGGACTTTGTCCTGGTCCTGGCTCTTTATCAGACCCACCTTGGGGCTGACCTCTATGCTGCACCCCAGGCCAGGTTTGACGATGGGCTGATCCACCTGAGTTTTGTGCGGGCGGGAATTTCCAGAGCCACTCTGCTGAGACTGTTTTTTGCCATGGAAAGAGGAACCCACCACTCTGTCAGCTCACCTTATGTGACCCATGTTTCCTGCAGGGCCTTCAGGTTGCAGCCCCTGTCTACACGAGGAACACTCACTGTGGATGGAGAACTTGTGCCCTATGGGCCGCTTCAAGCCCAGGTCAGAAAAAGAAAAAAACAGTGCTTAGTACTGAATATACTTGTCATGAAGTGCTGTCATCTGTGTGTAGTAACTGCACAAAATCTCCTGTAAAAAAAGTTTACTTTTTTATGCGATCAGAACAGGGATCTGCATTTGTATTTGTCAGTTCCTGTAATATCCAACAACATAGCACTACTTGGCATGTGAGCTCTTAATTAAGAATTGACACTGTGTTTTTGAGAATCGATACAGTATTGCAACACGTAATATCATAATACTCGATATTTTCGTGCACCCCTAGCATGTAGGGTGTCATTCTGTCCTCCAGAAAATCTCTATATTGTGCAAAATTCAATTAGTATTTTTAATTTTGTTTGATCTTTTGATTACTAAGCTGAAAAGTTGATACTTTGTATTTATTGTTTCAGTGATAACTTGATTGTGACTCATTCACATGGTTGACAATGACACGATTATTTTTTCCCAACTTGTAAGGAGATGTGTTATATCTTTAGCTGATGTTCTGTATGCCTCTGCATTACTAATGTATTGATTGCATGCTGGTATTTATCATCAGTAATAAATGTTTTTATGATTTCTCAATACTTCACAGATTCACCCTTCCATGGCTCGTCTCATTGTTGGCGACTCTGGAGTGAAGATTACCAGATTCTAATCAGGGATTGGTTGAGTCGATTGACGGATACTCTACTGAATGATGTGATCTCTGTTGTCATCTGTACTCAGAGGAGGGGGATGTCCAAGAGACTTAAAATACCCTGGATTGCAGAAACTGTTTTTCCTGTGGTTTAATGAAAGGGATGCCCCACCGAGCCACGTGTCGTTGGAGAATGACTGCAGGGATTAATAGCAAATTTGAAAATGGATGAAAAAATGCACCTCATTGCACTGCTGTTGGATTACGCTCAGCGCACCCTGAGAAGCATGAAAACTGCACAGCCTGAAATATCAACATGGATAAACAGTTGAATGTTTATGGGATGTTTTATGCAGATAGTGCATGTGTTGGATGTATACATAGTGGTATGCATGCAGAGAAGCACTACTTAATTTTTGCCTTACAATGACATGGAGAGATTAAATTCAAAGAAAGGTCTTTAAACAAGAAAAAACAAAACATGATACCTACTTGGGCCAGTCCTCATTGAAAACTGTCCCCAGCCCTCTCTTTTCAGTCCCACTCTCAGTGTCTAAATCTCTGAGCATAAAAAAATGTTTGGAAAGGAATGCCTTATCTGACCCCGGAGAGTACATTTGTATTCGTATTGCATAAGAAATCTCATTTTTCTCATCTGTCCACCTATGACAGTGTCTGTCCACTACATAAAAGAAATATTCTTAGATGTATTGGTAGACCCACCTCCTACTGTTATCTTTGAGCACGCTACTCTCCACTCGCTTATGCGTCATTGGAGAAAAATGTTGATTTAAGATACAGTTTAATTACCATTTCATGCAAGTGAGTGCAATGAGATCAAGCTTTTCAGTCGTTACGTGACGATGGAACGGTGACCATTACTAACAGTTTTACAAACTGCCTGTTGTAAGTGGATGCACGATGATAGTCAGTGATATCAGACTTTGCAATATATTGAAACATATAAATGTCTGAACAAAGCAACCTTTGTCAGTTGTTTTAGACTGTTCATTTTCAAGGTATCAAAACCATTAACCGTGAGCAGTACTTTATGTTTATGAAAGTGGAATTAGATGACATTACACATTCTCTGTTAAATAGTAATTTGGGCATTTATTTTGCACAATAACTGGAGATGAAGCAGCACAGAAAACCACAACACTAGGATACATAGTAACATTTAGATACATCTGAAGAGTACCAGTTTTAGTAGCCTAGTCGAGATACTATAATAAATGAATCACATTACATTTCAAGCCTGAACTGGCTTAAATGTTTAGATTAGAACACTCATGGCTTTTGAAAGGCAGGACTGACCAATTACAAAATAATTTATGAACTTTAAAACAACACTGAAATCAGCAGCTCTGTGTTGTGAGGTCACATCAAACTTTTGATTAAAAGTTAAATGAGGAAAAAGTGTATTTGCACTGTGAGAAATCTTCCAGCAACAGAGCCCCTCTGTTGAAGTAAGTTTGATGATGGTTTGGTGTTGAGATGTGAAATCAAACAGCAGACCTCCTGGGAATAGTTATGTTTTAGAAGTTAGTTCTGTTTATTTTAAAAGAACACAAATAATTAGTCTGGAAAAATGCTAGATAATTACATTTGCATGTGCAGTGTCTCAATCATGTCACCATCAACATACTGTATGTCTTGGCCATGCCTGGACAAATCAATGCCTTTGTGTAATAAGCCTGTAAATTCTGGCTGTTGACTGATCATGAACTGTTGAATCGAAAAATGGAGTAAAACTCTTTGTTCACCAGGCTGTTACTTTTCTTTTTTGTTTCCCTTTGAATGCACAATGCAGCTAGTCCACAATTACACTGTGCATACACAGCTACACAGCAGTGTATGACATTTCGAGTCTTGTACCATTGCCAAACAGAAAACCTGATGTACACTTTGACTAGTTTTGCCAATGTTTGATGTTTAAGAAAATACTGAGTTTACCATCCTAAACATTTTGCACTATGGGTGTTATAGACCAATTTGATATGACAAGGTCAGGGTGTGACTCCTCAGTTCATAGTGCCATTAAGATGTCAGTTAGCGTACTGCCTGTATTGAAAATGTAATTATTACTAGAGCAAACAATGTACATTTATATATTGTTTTGAATAAATGTAACAAGTTTGTGTGTAGCAAATCTACTGTACTTTTGTTTGTCACAGCAGTGTGATTTTTCATTTATATTATACAGTCAGAAGTGCTTTTTATATTAAGAGAAGGAAGTTGCTTTTATCAGCGACATTTGACTTTTGATATCTAATGGCATTGTTTAAACCACGGCCTATAGATTAAACAGTTTGTCTGCATTGCAATCAGTCACAATATACTAATAAATAAAGGAGATAACTGCAAATTGTTTCATTATTCCAGTGCCTTGTTCCTTCAGTCCTTCACTTCTCCACTTAAGCAGCTTTACTGTCTCACTCTTGTAGTGACATCTATATATATTAATTTTGATAACACTGTGCAATTTAGACAAAGCTTTTAACCAAAATCCTGTGTGTGAATACTTTTTTAAACTCTGTGGCTTCAGAAAAAAATCCCTAAGCCAGGCAGTGTAATAAAATATGTATAAAAAGCAGCCCTACCACAAGATTCACTTAGTAGCTGTTGTAGGCTTTCAGTTGTATCTTCCTCAGCTGATGATATTACATTTGAAAGCTCCAGAATAGTCACTAAATGCATCTTGATTGTTGTGTCAACTATTGTTTTCAAGTCAAAGGATGAACTTTCAAACCCACCTCTAACCATGGACAAGAACAGCTCAAAATCTTCTCATGATTTAATCTGCAACTAAATGGAAATTGTGGTTCAATTGATTTGTAAAACATGACAATTTGATCTCATTGTATGGTTTGCATTCCCCAGGTCTCCCTGTGTGTCTCACTTCACCTTTGGACCTTCTGTATTTCAAGTCTGAACTATAAATGCCTTCACTCTAAAATGAATATTTTGGATGAAAAGTCCAAAATCTAATTTTGACAAAGTGTATAGCTTGGCCTGTTTTTCTAAACAGTATACCGCTGAAGATATATCAATTCGTACATTACTCAGTTTTCATCATATTAACGTCTAATAGCAATTTATGAATGTATAACTTCATCTTTATGTCTTCTCACAAAATATCACTTGATTGTATTTTGAAAAACATCTTACCGGAAGTAGACTGACGAAATTTCCGGTGTCTCTACCTTCTTTGTCTCCGGGCCAACATTTCGACAGCGAGGATATATTTACACATATATCCGTTTTCTGATATTGAATGACAGTCGATTCTGAAATATTTATGCCTAAAAATAAAGCGCCAAAAATGGATGACCTGGACTACAGTAAGTGGGCTAAGCGGCTATTTTCACAGGCTATCGCTAGCTAAATGTCGCTTGTTGTGTAGCTAGTGGCTCAGTTTATTTACTCAGGTGTGACACATTGATTTAAAATGAAAATATTTCACAGTAGACCTTTTGTCGGGTTTTCCTGAAAGTATGGGCGGACATGCAAGATACATTTTGGTTAGAATATGCTTTAACCTGATGCCAACTAAATATTGTTTGTTTCACTGAGTGCTCAAAGCTAACGTTTCAGCTAATGTCGGTGGACATTTAACACCCCCATAGCTTAGCAAATTAATTTGACAAAGTTTATCTTCCACCTGTAATCTTAAAACTAAATGAGTTTACAATAGCTGAAAATCCTGATGAAATACCTTGTTAATATGGAGTTGATTTATCACCCAGCCCTGCAGTTTAGCACCATCTTTAGTTACATCCCTTAATCTTGTTTTCTTAGCATTGCCTTTGTCAAGGGTTTCATGTTGAGAACATAATATTAAAGCTATGTATTTTAACCTTATGCTTATGATGAAAATGGTTGACAGCAAGCAACACAAATAAAAATCCATTCACTTTTATTTTATTATGGTGTCTGCTGAAAAAAACACCACCCATTGCATAAAACTAAACTTACTGCATGGCTTGATAGTAGTGATGTTTTTCACCAAGCTCTTAACATAATTGGGTGTTTTACCAGTGAGGGGTTGGAATTGGGAATTAGAGTGCACTAATTTTTCAGTCATCCTAATGTATCTGTGGTAAAAGTACTGTTAATTTATTTCAGTGTCACATTGTGAGAATTAGCTGCTTTTCATTGTCTTAAATCTTAAGTCCTGTTTTATCAAATGGTGATGTGCTTTTTTTTTTGACTGCTTCTTGATATGTTGTAAACATAATGATTAATTGAGAAAATAATCTGCAGAATTAATGTTAGTTGCTGCCCCAATATCATAACTCAGTCAGTGGGCTGTTGATGACCTCATAGATTATATTGCAGCAGCAAACGTGATGGGGAGGCGACAGTGGTGCGGTGGGTAGAGCAGTTGTCTCCCAACCGAAAGGTTGAAGGTGTGAATCTCGGTGCCTGCAGTCCACGAGTCTAAGTGTCCTTGGGCAAGACATAGAACCTCCCCGTTGGTCCCGATGGTTAGAGCCATCGGTTGAGTTGGCGCCGCAGATGGCTGCCTCAGTTCTGTACTGGAAACAAATTCCTTGTGTGTAACATACTTAGCCAATAAAGGTGATTATCCTGATTCTGAGCATTTTTTGCACAAACTGGGTGCAACAGGGAGGTGTTAGTGAGTGGAGGAAGGAGGGTAAGAAATTGAAAGGTTAAAGTAAAAAGTATGGAATAACTTTGGCATATTAAGAGGCTTTTATTTTTGCAGAACAGGAAACAAAACTGAGGCCACCCAGTGCCTTTTCATGTTTTATTTACCTTTGCTAGCTCCAGTTACCACTGTTATTATCTCCCTCCTTCCCTTAATGTAGTCAATCTTCTTCTCTTCCATTACAGTCCCGGTAGACCTGAGCCCAGAGGAGCGGTCTGAGCTGGAGGACATTCGCAGGCGGAAGGGCGTCCTGTTGCAGGAGATTCAGAGGCTCAGAGAAGAATTAAGAGAGGCAATTCTAGAGGTGGAGGGACTGGAGACCAGCACAGAGGGCAGGTTAGAAGAAAATTCATTGTAGATCTGCTACTTTGCTCTTACCAGTATTGATTTTGACAGGAGTTTGATTTATTCATTACTTGCAGTTAGTCAGCTTTATCATTTTGTTCACTATGATTGGTTGCATGTGTTTTGGGCCTCATATATCTGGTCAAGGAATTGTCAAGCTTGTCTATCTGTTGTGGACATTGCTAAAGCACAGCACTCTTACTTGCATTTGCTCTCATCACTGTATCAGCTGCAGTTCAACAGCCTTTGGGCAAAAATGACAATTTTATACATTAAAATTAAATCAAAACAATAAAGTGTGCAAGAAGTGAAAGAGTCTGAAGTCACTGTAAGAGAGCAATAGGTTTGTGAGGCGATGCCTCACTTTGTTATATACATACAGTATATGAATGATTTTATGTTCTTTAAATGACCTAATATTTTGATGGAGGATTAACCATTAAAAATGATCATTAAATGTCTGACAGGCTTTTCTTTAGGACCAGTGATTGCTTGTAATTTTGACTTTTCTTAACATTTGATTGTTTAAACTTATGCTGTTTCAACTTTTTACTGCCAGATAAATTGAACACTATTCTATGAGATATTGGAAACCAGACATGGTCTTAAGATTGTGATATTTTCTCTTGTGATTTCATCACACCAAAGCCGTCCTCTCACCACCTTGTTCTCCTCTACAGTAAAACTCTACAGAAAAGTAGGCATGTGGCAATGGGAAGGAAGAAATTCAACATGGACCCAAAAAAGGTAATACCTGTCAATATTTATACAAGTGTAGTGTCTCTCTGACTGTATTACCTTTGTTGCAACTGACTCTTTCCACTCTCTGTAGGGCATTGTGTTTCTGGTGGAGAATGAGTTGCTCCGACACACTCCAGAGGACATCGCTCAGTTCTTGTACAAGGGAGAGGGCCTCAACAAGACTGCTATAGGAGATTACCTGGGAGAAAGGTGCTATGTCTGCTAATATCATGTGCTCTGTTTTCTCTCCTCATGCATCAGCCTTTTGTAATCATGCTTTTTGTTGCTGTATTGCAGGGATGACTTCAACATCAAAGTTCTTCAGGCCTTTGTTGACCTCCATGAATTCACTGATCTCAACCTCGTCCAGGCCCTCAGGTAAAGTGTTTCCACTTTGGCATGTGTTTTATTTTGCCTAGTATCCTGGCATTCTCTGTTGAAAAAGGCTTCTAAACAATGGAAAGTCCTACTCTCTTGGTCACTTCAGACTTGGGAGGGGAAAAATTATGCAAGAGAGAAGGTGTGACTGTAACTTGATTGCAGAATGTGACCTAAACCTTGACCTGTTTTCTACAGACAATTCCTGTGGAGTTTCCGTTTGCCTGGTGAAGCCCAGAAAATTGATAGAATGATGGAGGCCTTCGCCCAGAGATACTGCCACTGCAACCCTGGTGTCTTCCAGAGCACCGGTAAACACAAACATTTTCACAGTTATGCCGTATTTCATGTCATCATAGGCCAAACAGAAAGTTAAGGTTGTTTTCCTACAGTGGGTCACAGGAAGGGACACTTAGTGTGCATTTTACACACACTTGTTTGATTTACAGTTGGCACAGCACAAAGTAAAATTAAAAGTGTCCTCACATAAACAATGAGCCCCCTAATTGCAAAGGACTTGGTATGTGAACATATGTTTACATGTGGTGTTACTCAACGAAATGCACTGTGTCCCTAAGATCCAATTTGATGATCTAATGTATCAAGTGCATTTCCTTCTTCATAACACTTGCAAAACCAACTTTTGAAGTATTTAAAATTTTATTGTTCACAACCATAGCTGTGTCTCTATTCAGGGGCTGTGTCCTTTGAAGGATGTTGTAGACTGTGAAGGATGAACTATGGGCCAACCTGAAATGAGACATTCTGGTCTCATTTCGGAGGATTTCCTGTTTATGTTACCAACTGTTCCCTGCCCCTACTGTCACTTTACAAATCGCCGCTCTGGTCACCTAGCAACTCTGACAGCTGCTCTGCGCCCTGCTGGTGCACAAAGAATTTTGGGATAGGGTGGGCCTCAAAAGATCCACCAGTTGCAGCTTTCCTTGCCTGGGGAAAGAAGGACGTATTTCTCGGCTGCATTTGAAGGAGCCTTTGAAATGGGACGGCCTTGTCGTGACACTATGATGCAGTCCCCTGAATTGGGGTCACAGCTCATGTTTACTTAAAATCAGTCATCTTCTTTTGTTTTTATCGCTACCTGTTGATCAGTGAAATAGTGTGACACCTTTGGCATGAATTAGGGACACACTGATACCAGTATCATGTCCTGAACCTCTACTACTCGTACTCATAATAGTGTTACTGATACCACTTAACAGCAATGTCACATTAGCTCACACTGGTTGAGCAGGTTGTTAGGCAGAGGATGGGGAATGTCAGCGATTTGGAGATATTTTAAGACGTGATGACTAGTAAAGCCAACTGCAAGCTCAGGCCTTTGTATCCACCAAGGGTTACATGAAGGGAGGGGCACTCACAAACGCACAGCGGAGTAGTGACAAGGTTGTGTATTTGAGATGACAATAGTCTGTGAAGTAATAAATAGTTAAACTATGAATATGAGTCATTTTGTACAGAACACAAGTCCTGTCTCTCCTGCTTGCAGACACGTGCTACGTTCTGTCATTTGCCATAATTATGCTGAACACAAGCCTTCATAACCCCAATGTGAGGGACAAACCTGGAGTGGACCGTTTCATCTCGATGAACCGGGGCATCAACGAAGGGGGCGACCTGCCAGAGGAGCTGCTCAGAGTATGACGATGTCTACGTGTTGTTTCTCTCTGTAGATGGTCAAATGACAATGAGAAATTTTATAATCTTCTCTGTTATTCCAGAATCTCTATGAAAGCATTAAAAATGAGCCCTTCAAGATTCCTGAGGATGATGGCAACGACCTGACACACACCTTCTTCAACCCTGACAGAGAGGGTTGGCTTCTCAAACTTGGTGAGATGATGCCAGTGTTTCTACTTTATTGGGGAGCACCGCTGCCCTACATGCTGGCTTTAACCCTGAACTTGTACAATTATACAAAGTTACTGAGAAAAAGGCATATGTTGTGTACGCGACTGTACATTGTTCTCATCTAAAGCTTTGTGCTATGATGAGCCTGCCGTTTTCTCCCTGAGGTATGCTGTCTCTTTGCCTCCACTTTAATTGTCGGCTCACAGTGTTGTGGCATTGAAACATTGCCATAGCATGATGGTGACCAAAGACTCACTTTCTTGCATCATGGCAGTCTAAAAATCTGATTGTTTTCTTTTGCATGGTGGTGCCTGTGATCTGTGTCACTAATAAAATCTCTCTTCCTCTCCTCCTCGTGTTTCTCTCCTGTCCCTTCATCTCTCTTTTTGTTTACTGTCTAAAATCTCTGGTCCTTTTTGTCTCTGCTTCTTCCTTGTGATTTCCACCCTCTCCTGCCGCTGCTTGTTTTCTCAGGAGGTATGTATTTATGAAGTAGATGTAGTTGTAGAAAAAAGTAGCCATATAGTTTTCTGTAAAAATGTAGATTGTAGAGTATTATCTCCTCAAATCTGACCCCTAAGGAAATCTTCTATCCTCTCCTGTTGTTGTCATGACTGTGTTTCAGGGGGAAGAGTGAAGACCTGGAAACGGCGATGGTTCATTCTCACAGACAACTGCCTTTATTACTTTGAATACACCACAGTAAGTCTTGGTTTGCTCTCATGTGAGATTGTCAATGCATCAGGTGCAATAAACAGGATTCTGAAATATTTTTATGCTTGTGTTCAGACAAATTATTTTGTTACTTATAAATACATTTTAATGTTGTATGGTTGCTAGAAAGTTTGGAGTGTTTGTTGTACCTGGGAGTTGAGAATAAACTAATTTCTGAGCAAAAATACAATACCATAAATACAACCCAACTTTCTGCAGGAAGGTTGGGTTGCTGAACTTGAGGATTAGATGCATAACTTTACTAATCCACTGAGAAGAAACTGGTTTGGTTGCTTATGCATAATAAAACAATAGACACAAGTCAGACCGGACACAAGAGATGACATGAAAGACTACCACAATAATACCAACGCAACAAACTGAAAAAATAGAGGAAATTTGTGAAGCCCAAACCCTTCCTGTCATATGTGAAGAACAAGACAATAGATTTTGTTTAACCTGGTTTGTCACATTAGTTCAGTAGCCAGAGCCAAAGTGCCTCGAATGGCCACTTGAGGCTGGCTCCTAAAGGCATGTTAAAACTTTACAGCAGAAATAAACATGCATACAGCCTGGTACAAAAAATGTTTTTGGTGTCTTTAGCTAATTTCCCCTGTCATGACAACTGTTGGGTGAATTTTTATCTAACTCACTCAATAAGTTGTACTGAGACTAAAGGTTAAACATAATTAAGGGCAGGGATGCTTTGAGTGACAGGCAGTAGGGTCCCACCGTAGGTGGATAGCTCCTAACTGTCTGGCAGGCTTCACTCATGCTCCACCTCTTGCCCATTTTGGAGTAGCTGTAGCAGGTGGAGTGAAGCACTATCAATATGGTGACGGACAGACTTGGGCTTCAATGGGTGATGTCATGGAGGGTTTGTCCACCTTTTATATACTATTAATGAGTGGGTTTTTTTGTTGTTGTTTTTTGAGAAAGAGATCATCAAGAGTTGCAATTTTTCCAGGTTTTGCAGAAGTAATGCTGAGATTGGAAGAGACAGGGACTGATTAAACACACAGTCATCTCACAACCTTTGTTTGTCTATTCCACTAACAGGATAAAGAGCCACGAGGTATCATTCCCTTGGAAAACCTTAGCATCCGTGAGGTTGAAGATCCAAGGAAACCAGTATGTTTGTATTCCTGCATAACCTTATGGTTAAGTAGGAGTAAGATGATTGTTCATCTAAGATTTGTTGCCTTTGTCCCAACAGAACTGCTTTGAGTTGTACATCCCCAACAACCGTGGTCAGCTGATTAAGGCATGTAAGACGGAGGCTGATGGGCGAGTAGTGGAAGGGAACCACATGGTGTACCGCATCTCTGCCCCCACACCTGAAGAGAAGGACGAATGGATCCACAGCATCAAGTATGTTGATGTAAAACTGGATAATGTGACAGGAGAAAAGGAGATCTTGGTACAGTAGCTCAGTGAGCTAACATGAGGTAGCTTCCTGTGTAAGGTCCTCATTTCAGTTTCCTAACTGCTTTGTGGAAATGCAATGTAATTCTGTGTTTTTGAGAATCCACCCACTCATTAGTGTTGTTGTTTGTTTTTTTTGGTCATCCATCCAGGTCTGCCGTCAGTGTTGATCCCTTCTATGAAATGCTTGCTGCCAGAAAGAAGCGTATATCACTGAAGAAGAAGGAGGAACAGCAGTAGATGATTCCCTTCATTCTCTCCCTGTCTTCCTCTGTTCTCATCTCTCCTCCAACACGAGACACATACTTTGTCCCTGTTCACATCGTTGGCCTGTGCTCGCTCTCCTAAAAATGGACTCCTTGCTATACTGTCTACAGACTTTTGAAAAGCTACACTCAGCGTGAAGAGCTCACCCACTGTGGCTGCCTCTTGGTTACACTACAGCCAGAGCACACTGTCTGACCCATCTTCTCACCACATTCCCCTCTCATCCAGCATGTAAGTGAACTGTGAAACATGTCTTAGACCATGTTCACACTAATATGGGTAATTTCACAATTTTTTTTTCTTTGTTTTGATTTTCTTCCACACTTGGCCATCTTTTAAAAACCACTCACCAAATGTGAACAGATTTGCGAACACTGATCTTACACTGGAGAGATGGAGGATTTACTGTGATCTTGAATGTCTTAATCCATTTCTCAGACTCTTGACTTGCTGGTGCATTTTCTTCTTCCCAGTTGTTTTTACCACTAAAGTTGCTCAGCAGAAATGCTTCAGGCTGTTGGCTTAAGTGTCTTGTGCATGCGTAATAGAAGACATCTTGTCTATTTTATTAACATTCTAGCATGTATAGCAGACCATCATAGTATGATCTCAAATTGCTAGTGTGGATCAAAACCCATGAAGCAGCAAGAAATTTATTTCTGTTAGTGTGAATATGGTCTTATTTAAGGAAGCAAGGAGCTTCAGTGCTTGTGAAGTCTTTCACATTTATTGATTCCACCTAAATAAGAAATTGCCTTTCTTGATTGTGCTTACCCCAGACAAAATGTGAATTCAGTATTCAAACACTAATAGTATTTAGATTCTGTTATTTTTGGTCAAAAAGGTGGAGAAACAAAGCAGCAAATGATCTCAGGTTGCTGAAATGTGCCCGTTGCTTCCTGTAGTTCTCTTAACCACTTTATATGCACATTGTTGCTACTGTCCACACTGTTACTCACTGTTCATTACTGGTTATATTTACATAAGATTTTTATCACCAAGTTACTGTTGACCTTAAAAAAATGGTCAGGTCTTGAGGCGGAAAGTTGCTTTGCTTGTAGCGTGTTTCTCTACTTGTAGAAACTTGCACATTTCCCAACGTGTTTGGGCAATAGCAAAGCATAGGACTAGTCTAGAGGCTTGTTAGCAATTTGTTTATAGCACTAAACTGAGCAGTGATATGGAAGAGGATCTGGGCCACTGTGCATAATGGGAGTTCTGACTTTTTTTTGTCAGAATTTTGTCTCTTTTCTGAGAAAAAAGAAAGTCAGTCACAACTTTTGTACATTGGTCCTGATCCTTTTCTTTACACTTATCATGTCCTCTCAGATATAATGTTACAGTATGCCACAAATCATGTCCTTCCTTATCACTACAAGACAGACACGGACATCTCCAGTACGAGTAATAACTCCGTCAGACACTTAACTGTTAGAGCCAGGTCTGTCCACTAAATCACAAAGGCAGCTCATTACACTATATACTTTTTTGTAAATAGATGTTAGCATATTTGTTTACGATGCACATAGAAATGATTTAATTTATTCTTTATCTTTTGTTAAAATCAGATTTTTGTACGAGCTGCTGTGGAACTGCATGTTAATAAACCAGGGCGTCACTCATAGGTACTGAGGTGTCACTGGTCATGCTAGTGCACTGATCTGAAAAGTGTTAGTGTTCCCTGATGGCTTGGAAAATTGCATTTAACGTGAAGGGTGATTTATGCGTACGTTGTCATAATTATAGTTTTGGGGAAAATAAGATATCTAAGCACTGATTGTAGTCAGATTTAACTGAACCTGCTGATAGTTTTTCCAGTAAAACAGACTCTGTAAAGCACAATGATCAGTCTCTCACTCTGCTAAGCTAACAGCCAGTCTTTATTTCAGTGGCTGCCCAGTGTTCATTTAAGTGTGAGGAAGCTATTCACAAGCTGAAAATTCTAATTAACTGATACATTTAAACGACAACAAACAAGGAACACTAATAAATATTTGATCTGTTATTTAATAGTAAAATTATTCACTTGTAATGAATCAGTGACATGTTTAGATTTCTGTCCAGTGATAGTTTTGCTTGACATCCAGTTCATGCACTGTTTCTAGTAGTTTATTGAATTGGCATTTTCAAGATGGAAGGGAAAAAATTGTCTATTGCACTTTATCAATTTTAGCATTTTGGAGAAGATGCTGTTGCTTTGACTCCAATACAGCTCCTATACTCTGTAACACCCTCTAGTGGTAAACGCACACACATATGCCGCAATATCCCGAAGGATGAACCATGACCTGTGTTATATGCCATCAGCTGTTTTTGACCAACATGTACTGTATTTGTTCATCTGATGAAGATTATGTTGCATGAAGCTGAATGTTTTTTGTTTTTTTTTTCCCCGTTTGCAATCAACATGTAGACCTTTTTTAATGACGCAGCACGTGATGAATCCTTCAGTTGCCTCTCACACTTCATCAAACTAACAAAGGCCTAACTTTATAATTCAGTGTTTGTGTGTCTATTCATCACATCAACTGTCTGTAGGCCTTCACCTTCTGGGTATTCTTGAAGTTAAAAGTTGCCAAAACCCTTGTTGGAACAAATATTTCCATTAAAACAAAATAATGAACACTGAAGTGAGTGAACTGGTGCTGGTCCTCTGTTTCCTTTGAGCCCAGAGCCAGAAAATGTGCTTATTTTGTATTTATTCATATTTATTTACTGAGAGCTGGAGATGGACAGATCACCTGTTAATGTAGCAAAAGAAGAACCATGATAGATTGGTGCCAGTAAACTACTGTGTAACAATAAAAGGTAAGCAAAGATGATGGACTGTTTTTTTTCCTCCTATAATTATCTGTTAATGGTGAGATTCTGTTGTTTTATTGACAGATTAAGCCTCAAAAATGCCATTTAATTCACACCTTTACAGCTGTAGCAGTTCACTGAGTCGTGTAAAGATTGGTGACTGTAGAAGGTGTTTCTGTGATGGTCTCAGTAGGTTGTTGGATTGCTCGATTTTAAAGAGGTCATATTGCTCATGTGTTCTCTCTACACAGCAGTGAGTCATAAAGGCTCTTCAGAACCTGTTGTGTTAAGGTTAAAACTATCAATGATCATCATTAAACAGCCCTGTGGAGATGATAACAGTTCGCATATGTCACCAAAAACTTTTATTTTGTCATAACAGCTGGAAAAAACACAATATGTAAAGTCACAGTTCTAGCCTTGCCTAAATTCTGTGTTTCATATGTAGTAATGAATATATAGTTGAGGCTGGATCACTTCAGAAATTAAAAAGCCACAGTGCAATTATTTTGTTTTCCAAAATATCAGATTTTTTATTAAAGTTACTGTAAATTAAATTAAAAAAAAAAAACACAGACCATTTATTAAAATAAGCTTTGTTACAATATAAAACTGCAGCAAGAGTTCATGTAATAACTTTAAAATTAGCAGAGGCTGTAAAGCAGTATTTTTCCCAAAATAACAATATCTAGATTATTAAAATTATAAAGTATAACACAATTTTAAGTCTACAGTTTCTTTGGTAAATTAGCTGTAACTTCTATGGAAACCTTTAAAAAAGAGAATCCAGAGTAGAAAAAGATTTTGCAGCACGTTTCTATCAGTTTCAGTATTATACTAACACCATACAGTTTGCCATTGAATCAGTGTAAGGTCTGCTAATATAGTCATAGAGCCAGCAGTGTTTAGTCTTATTAACATTATGGCAATATGACACATACAGCACTTGTCTGTTAAAATAAAATGCTACCCCATGAATATGTTAAATAACGGCCAGGAGCTAAGGCCCAAGACAACTAACACAGAATCTGTAAATACCGATTTGCCTGGTTTCTATTTATTCATTAGTTTTTATTGAAAAGTCACAGATTAAACGAAGGCATTGGTTCTGAGTCTGGAGGAGCTGGTGCCACTGTGTGATCGTCCTATAAAATCAACTAAAATACAAAGTATCTTTTCTTTTATTCTTGCCCTTTCTTCCATCGCTGTAGCTTCTTTAGATGATGCAGTAAATGTTCTTGGTTTGTTCCAAGTTGTGTCCTAAGTTCAGCCTTCAGTGACAGAGGTCAAAGGGGTATCTGGCGACACCTCCGTGAAGCTCCACCTCTGTATCGGACCAAGCGATGATGTCTCCTCTAAGATGGCTGCTGCAGGAGGCCAGGCTGTAGATGTCGTTGGCGCTCAGGACGTGTGACCACATGTGGAGGTCTGACATCTCACCCACAAATGACTGAGTGGCATCAAAACGACCTCCAAGAGTGTCCTGAAGCAGAGAAATATGAGAATTGTCAGTCTACCTTTTTTTTTTTAGAGCACAGCTGCACAAATACAGTTAGCACAAATAACCCATAAAGGCTTAGACATTACTCCAAATTAAATTCATTTTTCTGCATTCAGTAATTCCCTTCTTTTTCACTTAACTCTCTCACAAGTATGTATCTTTGTAAAAGTTTGTCTGCATCTGCTAAATTGCTACATAAGTTGTTTTTCTTTACCTGCTCCTGTCCCAGGATAAAAACCCCTCCAGGTTTGACGGAGTGCCAGGATGAAAGATTGTTCCCAGACCCTTTCTGCAGGCCGTCCTGGTAGGCCTCCCACTGTCCGTCCCGTGTTGACCAGGTCACACACATGTGGTGCCACTTCCCATCAGCCAGAGACAAGGGCAACATCACTGACTGTGGATAGGATAGTGAAGACGGTGAAATATATATATGGAATATTTTTTAACATGTAAACAGTTTATTAAACAGCATAAACATTGATGTGAGCACTTCTGCTTAATCAGCTAATTGACTAAAATGTAGAAGCCAGCAAGCGTAAGAGTAATTACCTCAAGTGACTTCACTTAAGGCAATGCATCAGATTTCACAGATCTGGAGCCAGATAAAACTTTATACCACTTAAAGGTGCAGAATGATTTATTAGCAGAAATGGGTTATAGTATGCATAACTATGTTTTCATTAATGCGTAGTCACCAGAAAATAAGAATTGTTAGATTTCCTTTAGCTTAGCATGAGCCTTTTATACCTACATAGGAGCAATCTGAAACCTCACTGCTAGATGTAATGCACAGCACCTTTAAAAAATTTAAAAAAGAAAACTTTTAGGGATTATTTATTGTTTAATACCAATACTAATCTCAGTCTTTATGAACTAATTTGATCAGTTTCTAGACAGTGAGCAAATGACCCACCAAACTAATGAGATTCAAATTCAAATGCTGTTAAAATCCTGATTGGTGCATGGAAGCATGTGACATCACGTGTTTCTAAGTAAGTCTCACCCTCTGCAAACCAACAACAGGAGTACAGAGATAAACAGAAATCTTTCCAGGGAGCTCCTGAAAACAGTTTCCACTATGACAGAAAAGTTATTTTCATGTAGCATCCTGTCACTAACTGAGAAAATAAGTCTGTGTAAAATATTATGTAGGTCATTATTGGTGTACTCAGAGGAGTAGTGTGGGGTTTTGTTTCTTCTCCCTCACCTTGTCATCAACCAGCAGCTCTATGGGGTTGTTCCCCCACTCAATGAGCACTAACTCATTGGCCTGTCCAGGTGCAGAATACGAGAAGGGCGTCCCCAGTCCAGGCCCCACGCCCGTCTTCATCCAAAGACACAATGTCAGGGCGAAGATCTCCTGCAGCAGAGTCCTCTTCACTTGCCCGTACATGTAGTTGGTTTTCATAGGGAAACTAATCTGGAAGGTGTCGGGACTCTTGGATTTCTTCCTGTTGGAACCTGTTTTTAAGGAAACATAACATTCACTGAAAGAACAGTCTCAACTCGGTGTTCATCCAGTAACTGTTCTCATCCAAAGCTTCTGATCCGTCTGTGTAGTTTTCCTTGGCATTCTTTTTCTTCTTCATGTTTGCTTAAAATTTGGGTGTCAACATTCATTCCTGACTTCAGAAACTGTGGTCCATGTAGGTCCATTTAGTAGCTGCTCTAGCACTTTAGATCAAGATTGTTTTGTCAACTGTGCCTTCTAAGGTCACAAATATATTTTGAAACATGACCATCATTTATGTTTTAAAATAGAATTTAGAAGATGAAATCAAATATACATATTGCCATCCAAAGTAAGTGACTACTTATTGAAATGGAGAACTCCGGTGTTCTGTGTGGAAGGTAACTGTGACTGTCTGCTTCATTACTGTGTTGATCATCATCGTGGTCACCGCCTGCATGGTCACTGGTGCGGCCGTGATCGGTGTAGTTCCCACTGTCACTGTAACCACCATTGCTGTGGTCATCTTTGTGATCATCAGGGTGGTCGTCTTCATGGTGATCTCCATCATCTCTGTGACTGCTGTCATCACCATGGTGCTCAGGACCTCTGAGGACGGTGGTTCGGTGGTGCCGCTGTTGCTCCAGAGCACTGATCTTATTCTGGAGCAGTTCCTTCAGAGAGCTGGAGTAGGCCATGGATGTGTTCCTCTTCTGCTGAGGGAAGAACACAGGTGAAGTCTTGAAGGCATCAGCGCTGCTTTGGCATAAACTGGTATCAAGAACTCTTATGATACTAAACACATATGTTGTTCTGTCACCTACAGCAAGACTTAGAGAGCACCTGTGTGTATTTTGCACTTTGCCTGCTATTTACATTCACTGATTATACAGCAGGTGGGTGCTTTGTAACCCCTCCCACATCCATATATACTTCTCTTCTATTTAGGTCCTGGTGCTTTCCCTGATGACTAGCCTGTCAATGGAGATCATTATTATTACAGTTGATCTTAGAGCTATGAATCCCCCCAACACCACACACACACACACACACACACACTGGCTCATAGCTCATAGCTCCGTACATCTGTCTGTGATCACAATCCAAGTAGGAGGTACAGCAGAAAAGAACAAATAAACGCACTAAGAAAGTCAAGATGGCAGGTAACTCAGTAAAACAGTCCAGAATATCTTACATCAGTATGAGCTTGTTGCTGTATAGACATGTACCTGAGGGATATGTTTGTCTCAGTTGGCATTGTAGTGAGTGGTTTTATGTGATTAAGCAATTCATTGTTCCTGTTCTAAAGTACTTAACAGATATACCACTTCGGGTCCTGGTTAAACAATCTGGTGACGACAGCATAATTAATGTCCACACAAGGAAAAGTCATATACTATAGGCACGAAGCCTTCCTATTCCCATCTCTTTCTCATTTAGCAGCTGTTGTATATTTACTTGAGGATACTGTTTCTTACAAACATCCTTATTAATTGCAGGTCCAAAGTTGAAAAACGTTTCCCCCTCTTGCTGCTCACCTGCAGGTTGTCCAGCCTTTCCTTCAGTGCCTGCAACATCCTCTCCATGTGCTCTGGTGATGATGTGATATCCCCTGGTGTCACATGTTTATCCTTCCTCTGGTTGCTGCTGCTGTGCTCTGCAACTGGTCGTTGTCCCGCTACAGCAGGGTTGTGTGTTGAATCTGGCATGAGGTTGCTGTTTCCATGGTGACTCTGCTGGTTGCTATAGTGCCCATTGCCATGGTAGGTGTGATGACTGGCCACTCCTGCATGATGGGATTGTGAGACAGCACCGTGGTGCTCACCATGAGGCATCATGCCCCGGCCAGAGCCCTCACACAGGGTGAGTTTGGCAGTCAGCTCTCTAATGGTCTCCCTCTGCTCCAGGATGGCCTCTTTCTGCTGCACAAGACTCTCTCTGAGGTGGAGGATGGTGGCTTTGGCCTCTTCGCTCGCCCCCCACCAGCCAGCAGGAGGTGCACTTTGATGGCCTGGTCTGCTGAGCCCTGCTGCCCCTGTGCCTGGACCTGCTGTGGGAAAGCAGGAGGGGTCTACATCCACAGGAACAGGGGCACAAACAAAGCGTGGGTGGGCTCTATAATTATAGTCAGACCCTGAGCCTGCACATGCAGGGCATAGGTGGAGTGAAAGTAAAGAAAATACAATGGCAACACGGATCAGAGACTGAGAGTTCCTCATGATCCCCATCCAACAGTTCAGCCAGAAAAAGAAAGGAGCTTGGCTTCACTTCAAAATGTGTGATGCCAGTTGAAGTCAAAGTTGTGTTGCAATGGAAACATCACAGAGCACGATAACAAAGGGTCCACTCATTTACAATGAACTAACCAAACAGATGTATCTCCAAGAGAATTTATTTATTCTGCATGTTGTCTCTCTCTTGCTCTGTCTCTCGCTGCACCATTGAAGAAAGGAATAACCCTGTAAATACAAAATATCAGATATAAGATAAAGATATTTCAGCTTTTTTGTTGAAAGTCTCTCAGAGAGGTGTCAGTTCGGATTTATTCCTCATCAAAGGCTGTAGTTTGTGGTCACTTTGTTGTATTGGATTGCATAATATTGTAGGTTGATTTAATATTTTGCCCCAGTACTCTGTTTTTGTATCTACAAAACAAACAAACATGAGTTAAAATGTCTCTTTTTGCTGTTAGTGTCAGTTTCCCTAAACACAAAGGACAGTGAGTAGAGACACTTTTAGACCAAGCTGACAAGCACAGAGCTCTTCAGTTCCCAGCAGGATGTGAAGCTGGTTGTCAGTCAGACTTCTCTGTCCCCAGTTACCTGCACTCTGCCTGAACAGGGACCTGACATGGCAAAGGCAGAGCCAGAGCCAGAGCCAGACAAGGATTAGTCCAATTCAGAGGTGTGACAGCCTGACCACCAGTTAGACTTCTGTCATTACCTTCTGTGTGGTTAGATGGTTCCTAGGAACCCAAATGGAAGCTCAGTATAGCGTAATAGAGTGACCCATAACAATAATTATTTTTGAGCTATCAGTTCTTGAGTGGATTTTGCTGGTTTATTCATGATTTGACCTGGAGGATAATGATAAAAGCAGCACTAATGTGATGACTATAGATCACAGATCTATTTACAGCTATTAATGCATTTAAACCTGGTTCCCAAAAATATCCTGAAAACGGAACCCCAGTGATTCCATGTAAATTACATATACTTCATGTATTAATGTCATAAAGGGTAGCTGACCTCTCTGTAGCTGTGACATGTCCCTCATTATACAGGCTCGGCATTTAGAAATGCCACACACGTGATGTGGCAACTAAGCCTCACCGACCACCTGTTGCTCACAATGACCAGCCTCTATAATGTGTGTATGTATCCGTGCGAGTTTGTGTTGACAGTTCATATGTGATGCAATATATTTTATCAATAATTGAAAAAGAGTGAGGAAAAAAAGCAAAAAACAGTCTGGTGAGTGACAAAGATCATGGCTGCCTTCATTTATTCACAGTGCAAAAGTTATTTAATGAGCTGCAGAAACCAGAGAAAAATCATTACCTGTTATTAAATATGAAGCATCTTTGTATAACTTGCAAAAGTGTCTAAAGGGGAAACAACCGTAGTGATAAACATGTTGTGCCTCTGTGGTTCTTCTTGTGATTTACATGGCTTAGAGCAGAGACAGATGGTCAAGGAACAGAACCACGTCACAGCCAATCTGTACTGTTTAGTCCTGTGTTTATTACCACCCACAGGTCACCCACTTAACCTAATTGCAAACAGTTGTTGTGCTACCTTCGCAAGAGATAAGTGGGCTTCCTCAGCCTCGCATGCTCCTGTGTGTGTGTGTGTGTGTGGTAATCCACGGCGAACACTGGGGTCATGCACCTGCCCTGCACCATATGGCCAAGGTGAATATTGAAGTAGTGTGATTAGTCCCAAATTAAAAGCTGACAACTGGAGTTAGACCTGTGATTAAAAAGACATTTGCCTCTGACAAAATAAAGCCCTCTCCATTTGTAAACAAAGATTTTATCTAGACAAAACTACAATAATCCCAGTGCCTAATAAGATCAGTGTCAGTGCAGATACAATATCTGTTCTTCACTTGGGTGAGGATAGGATTCAGGGATGCTTTGTATTAAGCTCAGTGTGGGGCGACTTTCCGATGTGTGCATGGTATGATAGGTTATATTTGAAGAACACTTTACAAAATCATTATATATGCATTTTAGGCTAGGTTGAAAATGGTGTTGCTTATTATGGGGCTCTAAAGATTTACAAAGGCATGGCCTGATAATCCTCTCTTTGAGATTGTTCCATCAACCCTAACTTTAGTACAGTGAAGTAAAATATGTTTCTTTTTCTGTGGTCATTAGAATTGGGATCTAAAAATGTGGAAACCTCCTTCTTACAAAATGTATTATGTTTTTAATTCTTTCATCCAGGTGTGATTGGTTATTCATGTTTCATGAGCATTTTTCAAAGAACCTGAATATTTAAATTTATTTGTAGTTTCCACTGGGCTCACTGGGATCAGACATGAATCCATTTTCATACATTATTTTTAGATCCATTGGTTCAAGGTTCATTTAAGTTATCCATATAAAAACATGGAAATGACAATTCTCCCTAACTGACACAGAATAAAATAAACAAAAACAAAACACCCCCACAGGAAATAAATATCCATAAAATAAAAGACCTATTCAAACAACATCAAAAATCAAACAAAGATTAAAATGATTTGAACCTTTAGGAACTATACATTAACCACACTAGGTATCCACGTTATAGGGAAGCGCTTTACTTCTTAAAGTTACTACAAAGTTGCATTCAGCCAAAATTTAATACTGTCGCTAACTGACATCAGCAAAGTCTCTAGAGACAAGTTACTTTGCTTTTATTCCAACTGATGCCTGCTGGACTGATTTACATATAAAGTTGAAGCTGTTTCATGTAATAATTTTATGACCAATTATTTATCATTCATTACTTTTATAAGACATTCACATTTTTATTTCTGGGCAGTTAACAGGTTCTGTTTCTTTGCCTCCGATTGGTAAATATGGAGCAACTCTTAGCAGATCTCTTTGTTTCACCTGGCTGAAATTATTCATCTAATAACAGATGACAATAACACATGGTTCCAGTTGAAGTGACTGGGAAAAAGTTCTTACCTTAAAGTCTGTCTGAGTGCAGCTTGTGTATCCACACAGTGAAGCTGTAGTGAGTTCACCTCACACACTGATCAGATTGACACAGATTTATTCCAAAGCAGCGCTCGGCTCTTTCTGACCCTCCTTCACTGTCTCTGCCTCTTTCCTCTGCTCCTCTTCACCCTGTCATCCTCTTTGTTGTTGTTGTTGTTTTGTCTTTAAGACCACACCTCTCTTCCTCTTACACTGCCTTTATCCTGACTCTTTGTCATCTTATGCACACTTCCATCATCTTCATTTTTATTCTTGGAATTTCATTATTGATCTTATAGACTGGGTCTTCATAAATTCTCTTGCTCTGACAAACTGAGCACTTATTTTTAACCTACTTTTTAATGTGTTGCTGATTTTCTTTTATTCTATCAAACAGGACACAAATGTCAGCCTCAGCTCTGGCGGCAGTTCACGTCACACAGCTCACCTAGATCTCAGCACAGGGATAATTAGCCTGATTAATTCCTTGTCTGACTAACAGCCAGAGAGAAGCAGCAGCAGAGCAGCAGATGGCTGCTTTAAGGTAAAAATAAATCACACAACACACAAACAATAGAATCTGCATGTTGATTACACAGCAGACATTTATACTTACATTAAGATTAGATAACAGGTTCAAACGCACAGGCATATGTTGGGCACAACCACTATTCCTTGTCAGGCCTCTGGGGCTCTGATTAAAACCTGACTGTACACTGAGGGGCCAGTGGGAATAGATCCTCTTTTTATTACTGAAAATGAAACTTGATTCATTTTGTCTATAAAACTCCTGTGACTGAGTTTTGTGAAAATTCAGCCAGGCAGTCCACAGCCATGGCTCAGTGCAGCTCACCATACAATCCACGGTCTCTCACTCAATAACAAATCAATGCAATATGCACTTGTCCTCTGCAGATCTGTATATTAACAAGGTTCATTTTATTTTGACGTGCTGTTAGACAGTTATCCACTTGCATAAAACAACTGCTAAAGCATTATACCCACATTTATAGTGTGTAAAGGACACTGGTGTGTGGTCGATATATTGTGTCTTGTCTTGAATCTTGTAGCTATGATAATAAAGGCTTTTAAAGTTTATGCAATTTAACTAACAAAAGTCCTTTTCCTTTCTTGTGACATTATCGCTGATCTGTGCATCAGGAGCATCTGCTTTGTGTTTAATCACTCTCTCAGATCCAGGGTTAGATCAGATCCAGGTGGGACTTTCTCCATTGTTCATAGGACTTTACATTGTTGCCAGATAAATGTCAGAAACAGTATCACAGCAATAGATTCATATACAGTATATGTTTACACCATGTACCAAGCATTTTTAGCCCAATTTATCTCAAAAAGTAACATCCTATTTAACCCATCCTTACCTAAAATTCCCTCATTTGTAATTTAGGTTGAATGAGGGAAATAAAACAGGAAAATGCCCTTTTAAATAGATTCACAGTGCACTTCCAGAAAAACATTTGGTGTCTTAAATAATTTCAGAACCCACTGTGGTTTTCTGTTAGGCCTTGGACAGCTCTTACATCCATAGTACACTGATGCAGACTTTGAGTGCTTGAATGTGACACATTTGGACAGAGCCCAAGGAATAACATGGACTAAAGATCAGCCCAGTGATCTACATTCAGGCAAACCCAAACTCATTACCTTTTTCAGAGGCACGAGCCTGCTTTATTCCTCTGTTCAATGAAACCCGGTGTGAAAACATTAAAATAGATGGTTTGACAAATGGGAGAAATGTGTATGACTCATCTTTACTGTTTAATAGGTCAGTTTGAGCTGAGATCTCCTGCCTGTCAATCTCCTTAGCTTGTGTGAATTAGGCAGAGGAGGTGAACTGACTCAATATGGCTTTATAGCTCAGGTCCAAGGATACGAGCCACATGCAGGCACTAGTATTCCCCTCAGGCCTAAGCCAAGTGACACAGAACCTGACAGAGTGTGCTCATCTGCTATAGCTGAAAAACTGGAGGCATCTGGTCCCAGACAGCCTTGATTTTGGTGTAGGTTGGTCTGATTGTGTCCAGTAATATTAAATGTATACAGTGCTCTTTTAGTGCCAGTGCAGAGACATGATATGCTGCAGTGGTAGGGCAAGTATATATTACAAAAAAGAGCGATAAGAATTGTGCATAAGATGGGGTATAGGGATCACACCATTGGAGCTTTCATACAGTCTAAATTGTTAAAATGTTTTGATTTAGTGGGATATAAGACTGCTGTGTTTATGTATAAAGCCAGGAACAATTTATTACCTGGTGGAATTCAAAAACTATTTAATGAAAGGGAAGGGGGATACAATTTAAGGGGTCAGTTAAACTTAAAAATTCATGCTATACGTACAACCAAAAAAAGATTTTGTATTTCCATAAGTGGGGTAAAACTATGGAATAATTTAAGTGTGGACATAAAAAATGTGGTGTAGAAGAGAATTATCTATGTAGAGATATGCTTGCAAACCAATGATGGTAAGATGATGTCATGGGGTAGGACTGGATAAGTCTGACTTCTTCCTACTCCATTCAAGCATGTACTAGGTATAAGCAAATTGACATTGGATTAGCATTTGTTGGATATGTGTAAAATTATGTGTGTTGACATATCAACTGTCTTTACATGCTTGAAAGAATACATCAAATCAAATCAAATCAAATCAAATCAAGGTCTGGACAGGCAGACCATAAGACCTGTTATTGAATGTCTCATTTACCTGCTTTATTTAAAATAGACTGAACTTCTTTATGAGTTCCTTACATTTCTATGTGTATTTAGTTTTTTTTTTTTTTTTTTTTATTTAACAGTAGCGCCTGTTTTGGTCTTCAAAATGCAGATTTATTGTCACAGTGAAATGTAACTGGTTGTTTGGTCTCATGCAGGAAGTGATGTCACGCCACCTCCTGGAAAGACATGCAACTGCAACACCAGACATCAGTCACACAGCTGGATATCCTGTGATAATAACTGACAGGGTTATCTTTATCTCAGAATGAGCTTAAGTAATTATTTGGGCCTAATGAGAATGTCAAAGTTTAGTTGTGAGAAATTAATATCAAATTGGCCTCCAGAGTTCCTGCTCTGTGGGCCCGACATAACGCACATTACATTACTTGAGTGTATTTGGGTTTTTTTTTTTTTTTTAGAGTATTTCACTGTAGCTGGGAGGAGAATAGTGTACTTCCTTCGCTACAATAATCTGAAAGTTGTAGTCAGTATTTGCGTGCATTTATTGATTACATTTTAAATACAAACTATGCAAATCAGTTATCATAAAATATTAGAGTTTAAATTAGCCAGCACAACATGGAGTGGTTACAAAAAACACATTCAAATGAACAGATTCACATTAATGTATTTCTGTGATTTTATTAGCTTTTTAAAAAAACATTTTACCATATCACAACTGGAAAAATGCAGGTGTCAAATGTCTTCTGTGATAAAGCTCTAGCGGATATTTTACAAGCCAATTTAAGTGCTTTTTTTTAATTATTACTTTTAAGCTGCCACCATTATTAACAGACTTGGCACTATCCCCTCTGAACTGTATTTCTGTCTGTGTAATGAAGGCTTTCCACACAGTATTTAGACATTTCCTTTGGTCAATAATCTTAAAAAAAGATAATATTTTTGTGGCACTTTATAAGACAGTCTTTGGTCTAAATATGTTTAGATGCGACTCCTTTTTTGATAAGCATTCATGCTTAAAATCATTTTAATCAACTAGAACTGTCCAATATATATGAGGAAATAAAAGCTGCAAAGTTTCCCTTGTCAGTTAATGGAGAAAAAAGTAGTAAAGTAGCATACATTTAAAAATTCTGAAAGCTTTCAGGTTTCTGGTCAAAGGTTTGAGGGATTTGTGACATTGGTACATGGATACAGCCATAGTTAAGTAAGTAGCCTATAAGTACTTCAAAATGGTGCTTCAATTCAGTAGTTGAGTACAGTAGATGTACTTTTCACCACTGCGTAAAAGATAATGGACTACACCTGACCCTAAAGTCTCTGAGGACTTTTTCCACCACTTTAAACTCCACTCTCCAGCACCAGCCTTGAATCTTTTCATCAGTTTATTGCGTTAAATGAAAGGCTAGTGTCCATGCAGGGCCTCCACCTCCTCCTCCGTCTTCACTTGGAGAAGGGGGGGCCGGGTGTATATAGGCCAGTGATAGGCCTGCCTGTGCTGCTCTCTCTTTGGCTCTAAAAGTCCAAGTCATTATTCTCCTACTGCTGCTATTCAGACAAGGTCCCGTTAGCTCATTGTTATTCTGCCCGAGAGAGAGGGAGACCGAGAGAGGCAGACACAGAATGGGAGGCTGACTGTGGTTTCCAACAGCAGGGAGCTGGTTGCACTGATTTGTCGGTGGTCTTCTGGCTGGTTTTTTTTTTTTTTTTTGAAGGCATGTTGATAATCGGCTCAGTAATGAGGAGAGGTACTGAACGGCACCAAATATCTGACCCCGATTCCTGGGAGTAAAGAGAGGCAGACAGAGGAGAGGGAGAAAGTGTGTGAGAACAGAGAAAGGAGAGAGGGCCATGTGAAAAAGGGGTGGAGGGGAGCTGAGATTTAGGGCTCTGCTGGATGAAACAACCCCCCACTAACTAACGGAGAGGGAAAGTAGCCTAATAGGAAGAAAAGAGGGGGTGTTGTACTCTTTATTAAACTCTCAAAGACACGCAGGAAGTCTTTATCGTTCCCAACAATGAGATCAGAAAAGGTATGTAACTTCTTTTTTTAGTTGCTGAATTATTTGTTACTTTTTTACTAATGAAAGTGGAGCCGAGTGTGAGATCAACAGGTACTGGACTTCACTGTGTGGACGAAAGGCAGGGTGCATTTCATTCAGGAAAGCCCTCCACTGTGCAGTTACCTTATTGATTTATTTATATGTTTACTTTAAATTGGACCTTGTATCATTTCTCTGCTTGTTTTTAAGATACTTTGCACGTGCTTCAGTTATTCAAAAGACTTTGTAGCCTTTGATGTAATTGTTCAAATGAGATGAGATGATGTGGAAGAAAGGTTCATTTAGTGTAGGAGTACTGCTTTAGCCACAATACTACACTGTTAATTGATCTTTAAATAAAAGCAAGGATTAATTGCACAAATATCTGGCTGGATTGTGCCTTAACCAGGACAAGACACATTTAAAACCACCAAAAAGTATAAATGTGCCTGCTGCTAATGATGATGATTAATATCTGTCTTGATTGTTTAAGCAATAAAATATTAAGCAGCATTTTTTTTTAAATCCAAACTTTTTTTTTGACAATGAGAAGCTATAATTAGAGGCATTTGGCATTTTTACTTGGAGAATTACTTGCTTGTCAGAATAGTTGTATAGTATTTTTCTAATCAAGTATCAGTGCAGTTTTGATGGTTTTAAATGCAGTGTTTACATCCACTCACATTTGGGGACATTTAAAGGAACTAAACCACATGAATGCACCTTCTGTAACAGCCCTCCAACCACCTGCAGACTTTTCCTGTTGCATCCTGAAACAAACAAGACTTTATTTCTCAGAATTAAAGCACACTAAGCTAGATGTTATATGGAGCTTCAGTATTTCACTTCATCATTCTAAAAGATACCTATAAAGCCTTTCAAATTAAATGTTAGGACAGCGCTCCACTTTTTTGTCTTATCCTGCAGAATATTACATGTCCTCTGACAAATTACAGACTACACAAGGTTGACCCAGTGAGAAAGAGTCTGGAAATGTTTTCTTTGTGTCATATGCCATTTGTTGATCTAGGTCAGTGTTTTCTCTGTAATCTTGCTGTGATAACAAAGGAGAGCGGCACAGGGAATACACAGTGATCCAAGTAAGTAAAACCCAGACTGGAAATTCTTGGACCATGGAGCAGTCTTGACCATTCTCTTTTCCGAGGAAACACTGATGTTACATGTTTATTCAGTGATCTGACAGCTGTGACTTGACTGCAGGAACCCATTGTTCTTAGCCTATCTGAAAGTATAGAACTTGTCTGGTGCACAAACCAGGAGAAATATTTGGATAGTCATAATGTTATGAGGTGACAATTTAGAAAATGGCAGCTGAGACTCAGAGAGGATCCATGTGAAAATGAAACTGCTGACCTCAGACAAAACCCAGGATGGTGTTTATTGTGTTTATTGTGATGTTTTAATGGCCTTAAAGGTCCTTGAGCAGATTTAAATGTCTCACTCCTTTATCATGAGATAACAATTCATAGTACAGTATAATAGTCGGTGCTTCATTATAATTATATATTGAAGTTGGTTGAGGATGTGCTCTGTGCCAGTGGCCCAAAACAAATTATATCAGGTGTTTTGTCTTTACAATATCAGAAAGCAGTGAAAATGTGAACATGGAGTCCTTGAATTCCCTGACAATTTGTCCAAAACCCAAATATATTGACTAGTATCATCTATGACCAAGAAGAGCAGCAGCAAATGCTGACATCTGAGAAGCCAGAACCAGCTTCTAACTGACATTATTGCTTGAAAAATGTCAAAAACAATGAATCACTTATCAGAATAATTGTTGATTCATTTCCTGTTCACTGACTTGATTGATCAACTAATAGTTTAGCTCCAGTGCAGATAAATCAAATAAGTACTTTGATGTTCTCTTTCCTATGTGGAGGTGGATATAAGATACTAACATTTGAGTTTTGGATACATTTTAGGAAGGACTGTGGTCGATAGTCACTTATTACACTGTGTTATTCTTCATTTTCTCTCTTATAGGTGATTTGGGCCTACTGTAAAGCCTAGGATCCTGATCAACAGGAGGAAGAGACAGTATACACGTTCATAGCAGCAGTTCACACATGAGAGAAGAAAATGTCTCGAACTGAAGAAGTCAACAAGATGACAGAAAATATCTACAAGGTATAATTCTACTGTACAACCATCTGCCCCAATAAGAAACCTTATAAGTGCAATGTGCAGTAAACTGCTTAGGGAACCTTATAAACCTGTAGACAACTTTGTCATACAACACACAATCTCACAAAGTGCAATGTGCAGTAAACTGCTTAGGAGTTTAAAACCACTGTACAGATTTGCATGTCATAATTTGCCTTTCATGTTATCTGTGTAGGGGATTTTGGACCAGTTCAACCCCAGTCTGAAGAACTTTGTCACCATGGGGAAACACTATGAGAAAGCCCTGACAGGTTAGTTGACAGGGCTCCATGTTTCACATGGGGTAATGAATCCAGTAAAACTGTTAGTTCAAAGTTAATGATTAACATGATCGTTTAACAGGAAGGTTTAGGTTCTGTATCCAATTTTATACAAATTATACAAGGATTTACATGTATTTATTTATTTATTTCAGGAGTAACTGTGGCTGCCAAAGGGTACTTTGATGCACTGGTGAAACTTGGAGAACTGGCGAGCGACAGCCAAGGCTCCAAAGAGCTGGGTGAGAGGGCGGTTGGTCAACAGAGGGTGACCGTGTTGAGGAGAAAATAAAAACCAATCATCTTCAGACCTAGAAACGTTTATAGAGTCAGTGTGACAGCTGGTGAGGAGTTGAGAATAGCCTGTGAGTCTGCCGCATGTGGGTGAGCGAGGAGATGAGGACAAGAGGGGATGAGGAAATGTGACATGAGAGAGAGAGAGGGAGAGAAGAGAGGGAAAGGGAGAAAGTAGGGTCATTGTTGGGAGATTAACAACACCACATGATCTCATTGTAATGCTGAAAACAGCGGGGGAGGCAGGCAGGAGTGTCGGAGGGCGAGATGCCAGCCACCACATACTACAGTGCTGTGTGACCGAGGGAGGGACACACAGCTGACCGCTGCTTTGTGAATGAGAAATTGTGTCAAAGCAGCAAGTGTAGTGACATTTTAACTGATATTTTAGTCTGTATGCTGATGTTGCTGTGAACAGCTCTTGGTGCTCAGATATGAGATGTTTGCACTTTTGCATCTGGAGTGTCCGTACACAGTGCGACTGCTTTTGCAGAGGTTATAATGCACTTCAATGAACAAAAACAGCTGGATTGTTTTCAGTATAAATCACTGTGAAATGGATGCCTTCACTGCTGTGCTTACAGGTGACACACTGTTTCAGATGGCAGAGGTCCACAGACAGATTCAGGTGCAGCTGGAAGATGTGGTAAGAATGGGCATCAGTGTGCACATTTCACCATATTTAGAATTAATGACATTATGATTATTTGGCTGAATATTGAAGTTGTAATGCAAATTTTGCAAAATATGTTTTAGTGGCCAGACACTGGACTTAGCATGTTTACAGTCTCATCTTGAGCAACCCCTGCTCTGGTAAAATGGCTGGGGGCTGTTCTCAACTGAGACCTTTGACATAATCGTCAATATATCAGTGTGCTTTATTAAAACGTCTGCATGTGGATCTTTTCATCAACAGCTGAAACTGTTTCACTCTGAGCTGCTCGCCCAGTTGGAGCAGAAGCTGGAGCTGGACATCAAATACCTCACTGTACGTTAACACATTGACTTCAGTACACTTGGATTTGAGAGCATGCACATATTTTATAAACCAGACTACTTCTGAGTAATTGTGGCAACAGCAGGGTTTCTGCTTAGTTAAAATGTTTAGATTATTTTTGTAGACATTTTGCCTTTATTTGATTGATACAGACAATGAGTGCAGGGAGACAAAAACAACTAATGTGAGTCAGTATGATCAAAATGTATTTATACAGCATGCTTTCAATAATATACATGATGTAAAAACATAGAGGAGAAGAACTGTGTACAGTTTCACAGATTTCCCTGCTTTCCTCTCAGGCCACCTTGAAGAAGTACCAGAGTGAGCGGAGGTCAAAATCGGAGTCCATCGAGCGCTGCCAGTCCCAGCTGAAGAAGCTCCGCAGGAAGAGTCAGGGCAGTCGCCACCCAAGCAAATATGGAGACAGAGAAATGCAGGTGCACAAGCAAAACAAATATAATACACAAATAAGTAAAGTACACATTCATGTAAACTAAAGGGAGTAAGAGACTCAATGACCTCCTTCATATGAGAAATCCTTTTAACACCAGTTGTGTGAGCACTTGTGTGACAAACAGGCCAGGGTGATTAAGATTAGAGAACATTCTGATTCAGTTAATTTTTCAGAAAACAGGCAACTTAGAGCAAAACCTTATACTGGAGCAAGCAAATGCATCCACTTAGAGGATAAAAATGTGAAACCAAAGGCATGTTGGAGGAAAAGGTCACAAGACAATGTTTTATGATTGTGATAACATTGTGCAACAGAGAGGATGTGATGTCACATATTTTCTGGCTCTCCATGTTAGTCCTCTCACTTAACAATGTGCATTAAAGGTCAGTAAAAGTAGCGTAATGTGTGCTAGGGTTTGTTTGTGATTATGTGTGGAGGATTTTTAGCCTTTTTAGTGAAATCTTTCTGACTTTTCCTTAAGTTTGTGGAGCTGATGAGTCGTCGCCAGGGCGAGCTGGACACGCTGGTTGCAGCGGGTTACAGGTCTGCGCTCACTGAGGAGAGGAGACGATACTGTTTCTTGGTGGACAGACAGTGTTGTGTTACTAAACTGCTCATTAACTACCACTCCAAGGTGATTGCTTAATGTTTTTTTGTTTAGACTCTTAAATGTAAGCTTTATGCTAAGATACTGAAATCCAAATGTTTTGAGTGGCTGACCTCACAGTTCAGATTAAGATTTCTCCTGGTGTTACAAATTGACTGCAAAGAAAAATTTAATTAAGTATGTGTAATCAAAACATGATTTAAGCTCATTTTTCTTATTCTTCTGTGCCATCATCTTTGTTATTATTGCCTAAAATCAGCTAAAGAAAACACAGACACACATAAATGAGCCACAGTGTTTCACTTGCACATTCTTCCTTTATTACTATGAACATTTAATTCATTTTGAATCAATCCCACAAACACTGTCCTGGTGCTGTAAATACAGTGTTGTGTGTCTATTTTGTGCAGGTAAGAGAGCTTCTGTCACAGAAACTGTCATCTTGGCAGCAGTCGTGTTCTCAGCCGACTAAACTCCCAGACCGTGCTCTCAATCTGTTGCGTCACACTGCACCTCAGAGTTCAGGGGCCGCCAGGATAACAGAGGTGCTCCGCCACACCAAGCTCAGCTCTGCTGTGCCAGAACAAGTCAGATCATAATTCTTTTCTCTTTTCTTTACACTTAGTCAGATGTTTGTTGTGTACTTGTTTCAGTTTTAAAACTCTCTAGTCTCAGCCAGGCTGTGATTGTTTTCCACAGAAATCTCATTGGATAAACTCAAACATGCATTGTGCTAAAGCAGAAACCAAGGCTATTATTATGGTGGTAGTAGTAGTAGTTAGTAGTAGTTTTGCAAGTCACATATAACTCTGAAGTTCTGAGAAAATCATCATCCGAGTCCTTAACATTTGATTTGAGTCCTAAGCTTGTCATCACAGAATTAAGAACAGTGCCAACACAGAGCTAATTACAGTATACCCCTGTCCACTGATGACTGATGACACATGAACAGTTAAGACATTGCTCGTTTTTTATTGATTTTAAGAAAACATTTTTGGGTTTTGGCTATGTTACCTGTGTCCACACCTCTGGTGCCTGGAAATTCAACATGAATGAAATATTGACAGTATTAGAGTTTTAACAGTGAATTGTCTTTGTCATAATTTCATGTAGTTAATAGTATTTGTCCTTGGCTTTCCAGAGGCTCTCTGTTCAGGAAGTCCCTCCTCTGTTGAATGGAGACTCCAGTCGTTCCCAGCAGCAGCGCTCACTCCCCTCCACCTCCCACAGTGACACCTGTGCACCTCAGGGCTCCCCCCAGACTTCCCGCTCTGCTTCATCCACTGGAGGAGCTGCTGGAGGTTCATCACGAGGAGCGTCCCCTCAACACACTAGCACGCCTCACAGTGCATCGGCCAGCCCCCTTCCTGACAACAGTGCCAGCGGCAGCACCAGCCCAGTCGCATCCACTCCCACCATGTCCAGCAGCTCAGCCCAACAGAGCTCCGTCCTCTTGGCCACCAACATGTCCAGCCTCTCCCCAAGCCTCATACCCTCCATGGTGATGTCGCTCAGCCAGATCTCCCCGGCTGGCAGCTCCTCACAGGGTATGACCCTACCCATCCCCCACAGTGCTCCTCACAGTCCTCCACTGCCACACAGCGCTCCTCTCTCCAGGGCCATGACTCCTGTGCAGTTACTACACCAGCAGGTGGGTCCAGGAGGAAGCAACACTTTATCATCATCACATAATCCCTGGCTGCTGAAGACCACAGAAATGTGTGCAACAGCAACGCTTCCACTGCCGAGGAGACCTGTCAGTGAAATGAGGCTGGGTGGCTTTCAGGGTAAGTGTGATAAATCTAGATTGCAAGTTTCAGATTGTCCCTGAGTGTCTCCATCCTAATTCACTCTCCTCCTTTCCTCTTGTTTTTCTCCTCCTCCATTGGTGGAAGAACTCACATTGTTTATTTAAGTAAAAGTAACAATAGCACAGTGCAGAAGTAAAAATCCAACATACACAAGTACTAACATCAAAATATAATTAAAGAACCCAAAGTAAAAGTACTCATTATGCACAATGGCTCATTTCACATTAATGCATATCATTGATTGGATTATTATTATTAATGGATTAGTGTGTTTATTATGTTTAATGTTGCAGCTGCAGTGGAGCTAATTTTTCACTGAAGATCAATAAAATCTTATGATTATACTGTATTTTGTAACTAGAGTCATTAAATAAATGTAGTGGGGTAAAAGTACAATATTTGTTTCTAAAATGTAATGAAGTCAAAATATAAAGGAGCAGAAAATGTACATACTTAAGTAAAGAACAAATTCCTCAAAATTGTATTTAAGTACAATACTTGAGTAAATGTACTTACTTTGTACCTCTGTCCTCCTCCTAGGTTCCAGTCTCCCCAGGATGCTGCCGTTATCTGGACCTACATGTGTGGAAGCCATGTTTGCTCACAGTCCTGGAACCTCAGAGGCTGGTGGGGCAGGGGGTGGGGCCTGTTTGCTGCACTTCTTGCCAGGTGACAACATCACCCTGCTCATCTCTGAGCCGAGAGATGGGTGGCATTATGGTCAAAATGAACGGACTGGACGGTATGATTTACCAATCACACATGGATGAAGAATTGAATGGAATATGTAGTACTTGACAAAGCCCCTGAATTATTTGCAGTCTAACTTGAAGGGAACTTTTAACCTCTAGCTTCATTATAATGCACAAAATCACAAGACTGTGAAACATGTTGATGTGATGTTGTATATAAATGCATTCAAGATAATATAGACTGACTTCAGACACATTCTTAGGCTTGTCTTGGTCTCACTGTACAATATGGCAATGATCACATACAGAAACATTTTCCTTTACAGGAAAGGCTGGTTTCCTTTCTCCTACACTCAGCCACACCACAGTAAACTGGATCACCTCGAGAGGTAAGTCAGAGGAGCTTGTTAATGAACTCTTAATGACAGAAATGCTTCCTTCACTTCCCATCAAATCTTTTACAACCCAGTCTGTCAATATCAGCAAATCTATGAAAAGTAGACAATTATAACATTAGCTGATTCACAGAAAAGTAAAATAACACCCTTCCCTTTTCCATCCATACTCTCAATAAATCAAAACATCTTTTGTGCTAGACACAGAGAAAGTCACAGGAGCTCACTTATTGTCCTTCCATCTTTCCACATTCGCACATTCTTTTCCAACATCAACAACACTGTTGGTGAATTCACACAAAACCAACATCTCCCAACTCTCACTGTGCTTCCTTTGTCGTTTTCCCTTACTCTTTCCTCTCGGGCTGTGGCCTTCCCTGCAGTTCTCTCTTCTTATCTAAAGCTAACAGCACCAGTACTGGCCAGCTCGACAGGCTGGTGTCTCCAGGCCTCCCAGCCTTCACTCCTGAGGTGGAGGAGGAGCGCTCCCTTCCTCCCCAAAGGGTCAGCACCTTCCGCCCGCGCCCGTACAGCATGGTTGATAGCAGCAAGGTCAGAAACACGAAACCTTTGGGATGTGGTCACTGTTCATGCTAATATACATGGTGAATAATAGTAGGAATCTAGTAGTTATCTCTGTTTTCTTGGTATTTCAGATCACCTCAGAACTAGCCTCTCCGCCGCCCTCTCCAACCAGGTAGATTTCAGAAGCTCACAGCTTCTTTACATGTGCAATTAAAGGGACACTGATAATATCTTCTGTGGCTCTGGAGGGAGTTTTTTAAAATATGAAAAACATAACCCAGATAATGTCATCAGCTTTATCTTGGCTTGGACTTGGATTCGCTTGAAATTAGCAAGAGAAAGACTTGACTTTGAAAGACAAGGGGATGTACCAGGGAGGGAGGGTCTAACAGAAGATGCTACTGAGTTGCATCATGGGAACTGTATGATCCATTATTGTGGAGTTTAAACGACAGACTAAATGTCATGAAATGTTATCATTTGCTTTACCAGGTTTGAGCCTTCTTTTAAAAATATGTAAAATCTCTGGAACACCCTGTTAATCATCAAGTTACATAACTTGATGTAGATGTTCCACAATGGAAAAAAATGCTACCATGACAAGATGTGGACAAACAATGTCTTTATTCATATCCTGGGGCAACTTTTGCCTTTATTAGATTGTTAATAGTGGAGACATGACAGGAAATTAATGGACAATTACATGATCAGCGTCTTAGAGTAACAGGCCACCAGGGTGTGCCTTTTTTTAGTCCTAACAGATTTGAAAGACTGTAGATTATAATATCATTCCTCTTCTTTTTTCAGGGAAAATCCATTTGCCCACGTACGACTCAGAAAAACCATCACCAATGATCGCTCAGCTCCCATCATTGAGTAAATGGTTGGTTCCCAAAGCAGAGATCCTGTTTGTCCATTGAGCCTCAGGTTGAGTTCTGGAAACAGCACGGTGTTGACTCTTTTGAATTACTTTACTTTTTGATTGTTCCCTTTGCAGTTTAATTAAACACAGATTGTGTTTTATATGCAAGGATTTTAAAATCAAAGTATAAAAGGTTTTTTACCTGGTAAAGCCTGATCTGTTACCAATACGATCACAGTCTGTTCACTGTTAATGTGCAGTAGTTAATAGGAGACAGTAGAAACAGGATGACTGTAATAATTGAAAGTTCTGTTTGACTGAAATGTGAACATTAAAATGTAGAAGTACGATGTTTGGCTGTATGTAGCTTGTAGCTGAATCTTGCTTGTCCAGAATATCTAACATTTTTAGGTTTTTCTCTGCCTGTGAAGGATGCCTCTTCTTTCTGCAATGCATAATCTTTACATAGTTTTCTTGTTTGTTTTTTGTGCCATAATTGAGAAAGTTTTTTTGATCAGCTGATCTAAGGACTGGTTCCTAAACAGTAGGTTAATTACTTTCACCTTGACTGAAATGACATGTTATGGGAAGAGGACGGGGTCCTACTTTGGAAGTGCTATTGTATTTTTTAGAAGAGCTGCCAGATTGTTGCATTTTGAAGGTGAACTTTTAAGTTTATTCAAAGTGCTTTTTTTTTAAACCTGGTGGTTTGGCTGAGAGATATTTGGCACATCGGTGAAACTTGCACACTTTTACCTTAAAATTTCAGAACATGTACATTGATGTTTGAGGGTCCGTGCCAATATTATCTAATTTTTATGCCATTTACCACACATCACATTCTGCTGCAGTGAAGTTGCATATTAGTTTTTTATGAATGTAGATATTTGGATTAGTTTATCTTTTTATGTGAGCTCAAAATACAATGTAAAACACATTATACTTTATAAGTGATAATTGAATGACTAATGAGCAAGACTTGTGAATCTCCAAATGGAATCACAGAGTGAAATTGTAGTTATTTAATAGAGAACAACTCCTACAAAACAAAAAAACAAAAAAAATCATTATCTTCACGATCACAAAGGATGACAGGTAATAGTTGAACAGTTGGTTGGTGTTATTTTGGAAGTGTTTTCTTTAGAAAGTAACACATTGTGAAGGGTTTAAAGTTATAAGAATGAAAGATTTGTGTGCTTAGTCTTTGGATTTGAGGTCTTCTTGATTCCTTTTCAGTCCCAGTCTGAAGCTATTCAACATCTAGGCTAGTTGATCGTAGTTGCATGTTTACCATTCAGACTGACCAGAATCTTCAAGAGAGATGTGAAAGCCAAGACAAATGATAGGATGGGGGCTCTACGGGAAAAATGTATATATGAAAGTGATGAAGAAAGCATATGGGAAGTTGACCAATGTCTGAGCAAGTGTTCACGGTAAACTAGAGATACCATGTAGCTCTGTGGTCCCCTCAAGCAAACTACAGTGTAAAGGTTAAATTTTGTGTGCAAACTGTAATTTTCCTGTTGTAACTGCTTTGAATTGTTGTGATGTTAGCATCTTTAAGATTCAAGAAATCATCCACAGACATGAGATATATTGCTTTGGCATCATTAATCAAGATGACAGCAAAATGATACAGCTAATCCATATTCATGCTTGTATATAGTGCTTAAAATGTGATTGTATGACATTTATTTGACTTATTTTCATAGTTCTATTTCATTTTGGCAGAACATTATTTCTTTGTAGAGGCTGGAGAAGTTAAACCCTAATTTCTGGAAACTTCATTAATCTGTCAGTCATAGTGTTCAGACATCTGTCTCCAAGAAACTTGTGACTGTTGATGTGGCCCATATTAGTGGAACATAAAACCCAAACTAGAATGAAACATACTAAGTTTGGATCATTGATACAGTGAAACATTAGGAAAAAACAATGTAGAACACTGAAATGTATTTACAGTGATGAGCAGGTTAAAAGAAATACTGCAGATGGTATGTTTATTAAATATATAAATGTTATAAATATGTAACAAACATTTATGTCAAAATGAACCGATAAAGTTACAGCAAGTTTACAGAATACTGTGTGTGTGCATGTGTAGGTGTCTCAAGGATGGTCAGAATCTGTCCTTTGACCACAAATGCAGATTGAGATGCTTTATGCGCAAAACATACACTCTGTTTTCAGGAACACTGCCAAGAAAAACATGAACATTCAAAGTTCAGAACTCTTCTTCCAAAGTGATATATTGCACATCACGTTCTGTAAACCAATATGCAGCAATGTAAACAGAGAGTCCTGTTGTTCTCTGAATTACCAACATGAAATCCTGTGACTGCAGAAGACACTATATTATGACAATGAATACTGCTGAAGAAGGTATTCTTTACCTGAAATACTGACATGTGAAATAAAGGTTCTGTGAAGGAAATCTTTCTTCATTGTTACTGTGCATGCATATCTTTTAATTGAGCCTTTTGTAGCAATATATTTTCAAATGTGCATTTAATGCACCAAATCATATTTATCTATATCATGTTTGTTGGAGGGTAGCACATCCAGTATATATAAACACCGGTCCATACATAAATTCCGGTGCAATGACACAAGCATGACCACATTTCACTGAATAATTCCACAATTTTAACTGCTATGGTGGGTCCTAGTATTTACTGGGTTCAGTTTGATGCTGTATATATTGTGATCTATCGCCCTTCTCACTTACACAAGTAAAATAATGCTAGTGTGAAACAAGCAATTCATTTTCTAACAGCATTAATCAGATTCCAGCTTTGTAAAGATAAACTTCCTCTGAAGGATCAGGGTAGTGTTGAAGCTTAGTTCCAAAACTCTCGTGATCTGTTCTGTAGAATCAAACACAAATCATAACTCTAAGTCATGCTTTCTGACACAAATATTGGTGTTAAGAGAGGGCTATCTATAAAGTACTGCAGCTATCTTAGGGTGGAAAGTCATTAGCTTCACATTCAGATTTTAATGGCAAGAACAAATGATGTTATAGTTAGTTTTGATCAATTCTGCCTCAATTAATTGCTGCAGAGAATTAAAACTGTGATGATATTTCAGTTTAAATCAAAGTAGAAAAACTAGACTGAAAATACTTTGTCCATTTAAGAATCTTATATTATACTAAACCATGTAGTTGATCCAAATGTATTGACTACATCCAAACCAAATAATGTGGCACAAAAGTAGAATTAAATAAACAATCTTTATTGTGGGACATTGACAAGTGGAGCAGCTATGCACACAGATATGACCAAGGAGAACAGTACAGGGGTTGATTGTGAGAATCTGAAGTTATAGCTTTCTAAGCCATTCCAAGCGGTTTCCTCTTGTTTCACATGGATGAGAAGGGACATCTGGCATGCTTCCATCATCTCGCATAGGAACTGCATTAGAAAAGAGAGAAAGAAAAAAGCTTTAATACTGAACAGAACAGGTATTAATCATATAGTTTAATTACTTGACGCTATCACACTTGGATCCAAGATCTGACACTAGAGCCAACCTGCTATAATATGACCAGAGCGTTTACCTGGGTAGTTGTATGGTGTAGCTGCATTGAGCATTGCGGTATACTTTGTGAAGGGGCTGATGAATGGCAGAACAAAACCTGAGAAAGTACGTTTAAAAAAATTAACTTAAAATACACTGTGTCTAAAAAAATCACTGGTTAAAGTATACCCAACAGCTAATTAAGAAACAAAGACCACAGAAACTATTCACACATTACAGCAGTTCTCAACTATATTCTCTATCAGCCGGTCCTTTCTAAATGTAAGAGGCTGGCGACTGACCTGTCAGTCCAATCACACAAGAGACCACGATAATAGGCTCCTTATTCCATGCATTTTTCAGGAAAGCTCCGATTCCTGCAAAACAAACAAACAGCAGGAAAGTTAAAATCCTCTACAGCTGACTCTAAACCTACGGTTAGCTATCTAACGTTAGCCACCGTCAGCAACACAGCCAAGGTCACATTTTCCGTTTGATTTATTCTGAATATTATTGTAACAAAGCAACTCTGGCTGTTTGTTGGCGCAATATAAAATATCTGAATTATTATATTACTTTATCTGAAGATCTAGTTAACGCTAATTTAAACGGTTAGGATTGCAGGAGGCAACAAACCATACACATACCAGCCATATTGTCTGCTATAGTCAAAGTGTGCAGGTGCTCATGGGAAATGTAGTATCTACTAACGACGTATAATTTGTGCGCCCGTCGCATGAAAACAGTCGTTTATCGACAGTAGCGTGAAATTGAAGGATTTGGCTTTGTTTTACGTTTGATTTCAGCCAAGTATTATGCTAGTAAACTGTCCTAGCTAACCTGATTGTTTAGACATTAGACTAATGCACAGTTTATAGAGTAGGCTGAACGTATGACACAGTTTGCAGTGGGGCTTTAAAACCGCAGGATACACAGTGCTGCTGAAGAGACTGCACTGTCACTGTGCTAACTACTGAGAAATGTAAGTAACGTTACATTGATCAGTTATTGTCCAGTATACGTGCCTGCTACTGGTGATGCCAGAACTTTTTCTAACGATTAATTTTAGTAGTACTCTAATTTACAATAAAGTTTTAATTTTACTTAACAGAAAATATGTGTGGTTAGCATTTGTACTTGATAAATGATGAAATAATTGTCAAAATTGGTAGGCTATAATTCTTGGTTTGAATGACAGCATTTCTGCACCAGATGTACAGTTGGACTAATCTACACATGTGCCTAGGTTATAGTTTTATAGTAACAAAGAATCTCTTTTTCCCCCAGATGATGGAGGATTTTTCTGGTTTGGCTCTGCCACCTCTGTTTGGAGGACACATCTTGGAGGCAGAGCTGGAGCCAGGGGGTGTAGAACTCGGACCTGGAGAGGTAATTTTGCTGAACCAGAGTGGGATCAGCTGACTTTTTCTTATTGTGTAACAAAGTCATGAAAAGACATGTGCATGCTGTCTCAGTATTTACTTTTGGTACTAATATTATGAGCTTGTCTTATGATTAACTATGCATAGTTATCAATTTATATGTGTACTATGTTTCAGTGTAAAACAGCTTGAACGCTATTTGCATTAGAATTTTTTGCAATTTTTTTTTTTAGGTTAACAGGTGTGCAGGTGTGCAGCAGGTTATACTACTGGATTTTATTTTTCAGGAATAAAATAACAAACATAGAATCTTATCCTATATTTAAAGCAAAGAACATTCTAACTCTTGATCCAGCATCTCAGTTAATGTGCCACAAATATGATACATATATAGAAGCCAGGTTTCAACTTAGTCAAATCTTATTTTGGAGCACAGTTGAGCACAACACAGAAACTTAAGTGTTATTTCTCTAGGGAGAGCTGGGCCCTGGAGGCAATGAGCTGCTGGAGAGCACAGCACAGGAGGATGAAGACAGAAGAGCTCTTGATAAGAAAAAATATCTGACTTTGAGCAAGAGATGTAAAGAGATTGAACAGGTGTGTATGAACTTGTAGGATGCACACACTTCCTGCCTGTAAGTCTTCTGAAATTTGAATATGGGGTTTTGTAACATGTAGTGATACTTGCACATTTAAAAAAAAAAATCAGCACTTGAAGTCTCTCATTTACAGAATTATTCAGAGCCTTTGCTGTGGTTCTAATTGTGGTCAGGTCAGGTACTTCTTTGCCTTAATTACTTTTGAGATGTTTCTAGAACTTAATACAAGTGATACCTGTGATTATTCTGTTGCTTTTTTGTATTAATGATGTATCATTGCATATAATCCCTTGCATCTTCATCACCCCATAAATTGTTGCATCTCTGCTGTGTTTAGGTGAATCAGAAAATCCTCGGCCGCCTTCATCAAGTTCAAAGAATAACAAGACGTTTGAAGGAAGAGCGAAGGTACTGTAGGAAACTCCATGCATTATATTGTACATTTTCTGAGGTGTTTCCCACTTGATGAGTGAAGAGTCCTTCATCTTTACAGGTTTCTCATGAAGACTCTTGATGCTCATGGGGATGACTACAGAAATGCTCAGCTCACTATACTGCTAGAGGTGAGAATTAAATGAATAGATTAAGAATGAGATTCAAATGTGGAGTCTTCTATGGAATGTGAAGGAATGCATCCAGTAGATATGCTGCAAGTCAATTCTGATATAATTTGAATTATTCTCAGTGTGATACAACCTACTCTGGAAATTCTTACCTGCCTGCACTGGCTATAAACCATAATTTCCTATTATCAGTTTGGATTTATCCCTGTGTTTATATAGGCCAAGTTCACACAGTCACAAGAAGCTTACTATGTCAGATAAAAATTAAGTTTCAAAAGTTTAAAATGTGATTTTGTATATTTTGTCAGCTCCAATTTCTAGTCTGTTAGAACATCACACGTAACCTGTATGGGTCCTTATGGGTTAACTCCTGCATCACTACGCCCCATTCTTTACAAAACTATAATTCCTTTGTTTTAATACAGCAGCTAGCAATAGCCATATGATTGTCTTAAAGATGTGTTAATGTCCTGCTGTAGACTGTCTACAAGACCAGCTAATAATGCAGGACCTGTTTTAGATACTGTATTTAACTGGTTGAAATCCCCTAAAAATTTGCAGTTAATGAACTTTATAGAAAATGGAATGACATGCCCTGAGAATCCAAAGGCAATTACCCACTTTACCTTACTGCTAACTTGTAGTTGCTTTGAACAAGCCTTTTTATTTGATGTACCATAACAGATAAATTTACTCCATGCTGCATTTTTTATTTTTTTGCCTGTTCTTTCAGGAAGAGCCTGGAGCCCATTTAGATCCTGCTGTTGAAGTGGAGGACGATCGGCTGAATGGTCTGTCTGTTCCCACATCATCTGCAGCGCTGCATACTGCTGGACCAAAGAAAAGGAGGCATCGGATTCCAAGGCAAGAAAGGGATAAAGACCCACAGGTGGGCAAGGAGCTCTTATGGACTGCAGCTGTCCTTTCAAATGTATGAATACACTGCTCAGTTATTCTAGTGATCTTAGTATTTTCATGTATATGTGTGATTTAAGTGAACATTTAGCTGCAGATGTGTGGTGAATGGGTGGTTTAAAACACATAGGTCTTGTTAATGTAAAGGTTCAGACACCTGCCAGTGTAATCATTAATGCATATTTAATTGATTTAATGTAAAATTAGTTTCTGCTTCTTTTTCTAGACTGAACCAGACATGTCAGTGTTGGCAGATGCACAGTTTGGAGACATGCCCAGCCCAACGTCACTGTCTCACTGATCTCGTCACTGCCCTGGATATGATGATAACTAAGGAGCATACAGTTTCTTTACATGATCAGTATCTACTGATCATGATTTGATCCAATGTAATGCTGCCCCTTTTCAGTCAGGTTTTGCACAGTTTGTAGTTTTACTTGAACTTTTTGAACAGATTGAGTTCATGTAGCATCAAATGGCATGTTATATTTTGTAATATTTTCTGTTTTCATATTTTGAACTGAGAGCTGATGACATTAGATAAATATGATTAATGGCAAACTGTTCATTATGTCACAGGCTGTCCTGTTTGGTAAAGATTTAGCAACCCAGATACAGTTAAAGTAGAGTAGAAAATGTCATTGGATTCATAATATACTGTATGAATGATTTCATGGTTCTTGATTTTACTGTCGTCACTAGTGTTAGATGTTACAACCTGCTAAAACTAACTTGGACCTGTTTTATCATGTTTCTATACAATTATTGAACTCCACATAAAAATAAAAAGTAGTATGTTTGTAAATACATTTTTCTTTAATTTTATCTTAGTTCATTAGAAGCTTTTTCTGAAAGCTTTTAGCCTCATATCACAGCCTTGAGAGGATGACATTTGCCTTGTCAAAGAGATGAGTTTCTTCAAGTTTCCTCTGGTCACCATGAATGAACGAGTAAATCATTATCTGTCTCAAGTTAAAAAAAAAAACCATGGCAGTAACCACGCAATGAAAGATGAGCTATAGCCTTTAGAACTACCTCATGAAAGCAGTATTGTAAATATGATTTAAGGTGCAGTTTTTGTTTTGTGTCGATCTTAATTCATCACTTTGCTGAACCAATGGGAGGGCCTCATTCCAGCGGATGTGTCTCGGTTAATGGCATGAGTTTACTCCAATCAGATCTCGTAGATTAGATTTAGGGCGGGCTCCAAACACGAATGTGGGATTTTAGCTACCGTCCATCTTCAGCTACATTACAGTGAGCGAGCTTGTCGAAAAGAAAACATAATTTGGAAGTAACGAAGACTTTCTGAAATTAGTTTTGGCTGTATCTGAAAAAAGACAAACGAAAGTCCATACCCTAGGTAAATGTCGTAAATAAGTATAAATCTAGATGCTCGGGTTGACCCAGTTTCCCTTTTTCCTAAATTTGGCTAGCTAGCATTTTATGCATTAGCTAGTCAGACAGTTAGCCATATTAGCTAACATGTTAACGATTAAAACGGATACAAATCTATTGTACCATTCACAATGCAAAGCCACAATATGAAGGATATACTGGACCCCGAAATAATGATGCATGAATATGGTATTCATCTTGTTCCGCGGTACTTGTTTTTTTTTTTTTTAACGGGCCAGTTAGTAACCAAGCGAGGTGAACGAGCTAAGCAAGGGGCAAATATTAACGTTAGCTGGCTAGGTGTCAAGTCATATTGGAGCATTAGCAAGATAATGTACGTTCACGAGATTATAATGATAACGTTAGACGAATTGCAATACAAAGGTTCTACTTTGTCTTTAAAGGTGTCTTTAAATTCTGAAGAGAAAACCTTATTTGTGCAGCTAACGTTAACTGGCCAACTAGTTGGAGGTAACGTCAGATCCACTCTCTGGAAACCGATGTGCTGATGGCTCTGTTGATGGGATTTCTGTGTTGTTTGAACGATGTATTGATACACATTTTTGTTTTACTCGTATAGCCAACTTTGTGACAGACGGAATGTGGACATTGTCGTAGTCAGAGCCATGGCTGACAAGAGAAAACTCCAAGGTATAACTGTTAGTGAAACTGTCACCAATTAACGTTGTACAGGATCCATCACATTGTCCAACTTGACATCTTCTAGAGAGAAATATTTCTTTTTTAAGTTGTTAATTGCTTTTGATGTTGAACAGATTTACACATCATGATGTTAGAGCACATCTTTTATCTCCACAGGTGAGATCGATAGATGTTTGAAAAAAGTAGCAGAAGGTGTTGAACAGTTTGAAGACATCTGGCAAAAGGTAAGAGAACTCTGCATCCTACATTTGTTTGATACTCTGTTTCAGGATTGTTGTAAAAATGGTTTATTTGTCTACATTTTAGCTCCACAATGCAGCCAACGCAAATCAAAAAGAAAAATACGAGGCAGATCTCAAGAAAGAGATTAAAAAGCTACAGGTAAAACAAGTTAACAAGAAGACATTTCCATTGTTTACAGTCTTGATCAACAATATGTGTATTTGAAGCAGATGATTTGTTTTAATATTTTCACTGCCCTCTTCTCAGCGATTGAGAGATCAGATAAAAACATGGGTGGCCTCAAACGAAATCAAAGACAAAAGGCAGCTAGTCGAGAACCGCAAACTTATAGAGACGGTATGGTTTATCATGCTATCTTTTTAAAACGTTGGTTGTTGTGGACATTGTCATATCAAAATGTAACAAAGCAAGGCATATGGAATTTTCCTTTCCTTAGCAAATGGAGCGGTTTAAGGTGGTGGAGCGTGAAACAAAAACAAAAGCCTACTCTAAAGAAGGCTTGGGGCTCGCTCAGAAAGTTGATCCAGCTCAGAGGGAAAAGGAGGAAACGGGACAGTGGCTAACGGTAAGATATCCATTATTATCTCTGCTTTTTTCTCTTGTGTCTCTTAATAACCTTCTCTACTTTGTGTCAGATCCCTGGAAGTCTTAAGAATGAAAACAAAACATTTGAAATTTGTGAAAAACAAAATGGGGAAAAAAACAAAAATATAACAAATAAAGCAGTTTGATTTAAAACAGTGTTTTTAGAAGAAATTTTGATTTAATCCATTAATGCTTTTTTATTCGTTCCTTCTTCCTCAGACTACAATAGACACTCTAAATATGCAGGTGGATCAATTTGAGAGTGAGGTGGAATCTCTTTCAGTTCAGACCAGAAAAAAGAAGGGTGATAAAGAGGCAAGTCTTTATGTCTCATTCTTTTACGCATAGAAAATTTCGTGATTCCTACATGTCTCCAGTATATTGTAGTCTGGTAGAAGTTTGGTTAAAATGCTTATCAATAACCACATGCTTATCTTCTGTCTGTTATACAGAAGCAAGATCGTATTGATGAGCTCAAGCGGTTAATTGAGAGGCATAGATTCCACATTCGCATGTTGGAGACCATTTTACGAATGCTGGACAATGACTCTGTGCCAGTGGATGCAATCCAGAAGATCAAGGATGACGTTGAATACTACATTGATTCCTCCCAAGACCCAGACTTTGAGGAGAATGAATTCATCTATGATGACTTAGACCTGGAAGACATGCGTGAGTAGAGCACTATAATGTGGGAGGGTGATGCTATTATTCTTTTAGAAAGCAGACATCAGATGTGTTAAAATGACATCATTTGCCACTTGGCTGTCTCCTGTTTTTCCTTATAGCGGCAGCATTAGTCGCAACTTCTCCGTCGGGCCAGGGCAACGTGGAAGATGAGATGTATCTCCACTCCAGCTCCACTCCCACTTCCACCACCTCCTCTTCACCCATTCCTCCATCCCCAGCTACTTGCACTGCTGTAAGTTCGTGTCCTTATATTTTTAAAAACCTTGATTCATGGTGTTAAAGGGATGCTGGGTAGAAACAGTACATTCTGACTCAGTTTTGCACATATCCCTCTCCTAAGTTTGCATTTAACTAACCCTCCTACAAGCCCCATTGTGTTATAATTCACTGGCTAATATGCTGAATCAACATTTCAAAAGTGGATTGTCATATCAAAGTATCTGCTCCTATAGGAGAACTCAGAGGACGATAAGAAAAGGGGACGGTCGACAGACAGTGAAGTTAGTCAGGTGAGAGGTTCTCATTTGTGCTGTGTCAGTAGATGAACAGTTTAGTGCAGCGCTCTTCACCCTTGGTCCTGGAGAGTTTCAGTGGCTGAAGGGTTCTGGCCTCTCAGACACTGAAATGGAACAAGTTTTCTCTGTGGGACCATGGCTGGAGACTTCTTATTTAATTTCTACCATCTCCTGCATAGATGGGCCTCCATAGTAAACTTTACTCCTCATATACTTTGTACAGCTATAGTTGACCTCTGGCAATTTTGACTAACATGCTTCTGTCTGGTGCTCTATCATTTTCAGTCACCTGTGAAGAACGGGACCCCATCTTTGCTACCTTCCTTCTCATCCTCCACCACCTCTGGTTCCTCTTCATCCTCCTCCCTTGTGTCCATGGCGACTGTTGTTGGAGGCATTCCCACAGTCCCCACGAGCAGCAATCTAATAGGAAGCTTCAGCAGTGCGGTGCAGCAACATCAGCATCAACCTGCACAGCAGCAGCAACAAACTCAGCCACCAAACCAAACACAGCAGCCACCCCAGACAAAACCCTCTGTCCCCTCAAACAATACCCCCAGCCCACCCAGCAACCCCCTAATCCCAGCCTCCACTTCCCCCTCTCTCCCTACACCCAGCACACCCAGTTCATCAGCTCCCAACTCTCAGTCTCAGCCCACATCTGGGCCCACCTCAGTATCCAGTTTGGGACTTGGGCTGGGGCTAGGATTGAGCAAAGCTGGCATGACTGGGACCAGCAATGCTAACCAAATATCTGGTTTGAGCCTAGGTGTCCACCCCACTCTAAACACAATGACAGGGCTCCTTTCGGGCTCCACACCTGCCCCTTATGCACAGGCAGCAGCTGCAGGAGGCTTGGGTTTGAACAGCACCACTCAGTCCAACATTTCTGTGGAGAGCAGCACTTCCATTCCCACCTCTGGCTCCAGTGGAGTCACCACCAACGGGGCAGGGACTGGGCTCACTTTGCTTGGTTCCAGCCCGGCTCACAGCTCTCTGAGTGGGAGTATTTTGAGTCTGGTTTCTGGGCAAAGCATAGCCCCTGGTGCTTCTCAGGTGCCCCCAAGTTCTGTCAGCTCTTCTGCTGTAGTTGGCATGATGGGAGGCAATGGAGGGAATGTTGGTGTGGTTGGAGGAGTAGGGGTGAATGCTGCACCTGCTAGACCTCCAAGTGGACTGAAGCAGAATGGAAGCACAAGTATGTTAACTTCTGTCTGTGTTTTGCTTGTTTGTTTGTTTGTTTGTTTTTTTTGTTGTTGTTGTTGTTTCAGAGACATTGAACAGGGTTTTTATGTAAAGGGTTTTCTTAGTCCAAACCTTTCCTCACCTGCCCTCAGGTTACAGTGCTGTAGTGGCAGAGAGCTCCACAGATTCAGCTCTAAGCACACCGAGCCAGTCACAAAGCAGCCAACCCTCATCTCTCAGTTCTTCAGCTAGTCAGCCGTAAGTTATTTGTTGTCTGCTTCCTCTGATTCTGGATGCTCTGCATGCCTCTTCTTGTTCTTTTTTTAAATTGGTTATTTTAAAACTTTGTTGTACTGTTGTTATCACTCTATGTTTCAGGATGGACAATGGTCCCAGTTTAATCAGTTCCAACACCCTGTCTCCCAGCTCTCCATCGCCCTCGTTTTCAGACAGCACACATGGAGGAGTGAGTCTTTTCAATGGGCCCCACTCCTACACACAGGCATCTGAGGGCCTCAAGGTGAGCCAAGCCAGCAAAGTTTGATTTGCAACATCCTGACAGAGGCTCAGTCATAGGCTTTTGTCAGAATCACTTAATTGTGAGAGTACAGTCAGGTGTAGTTGCTGCTTCTTCATCTTACTGTATGGAGAGATTTGTCAGAAAAGATTAGTTGAGATTATAAGCAAATTGTGTGGTTGTAGAATATAAAGCTTAAACCTGTCATCACAGTTTTCCTGGTTAGATCTGCCAATACCCTGGTATTATGAGTATTAAACTGCCCAGCACCCTAACTGAAGGTCTTAAATTGTCATTTTCTTCATTGTATAGACCACGAAAAAAGACATTGAACAATGTATAAATTTTAAATTAAGGGCAGTCAGAAAGCATTCACTATCTGAGTTATAGAACTGTTTCACATAGGTGAGTTCCCAGGTTTTCTGCCTTTTTGGGACACGTTACTCAGTATGGCTAGTTCATGTCATTGTTCATAACTGTAGCAGATGTCTGACTCTTGCTCATGACTGTCAGCGTGGCAGCTGTAGCTTGTCTTCATAAGTCATTTTTCTGTACTAGTATTTTTGTTTCCTAATGCTCCCATCTCTTCCACTCTTACATATCCCTGACTCCAGATGTTCCTCTCTCCTCCCAAATTAATCTTAATGAACCATCCTGTCTTTATGCTACCTCCTTCTCATTCCCTCCTCAGCCCCCTGAGCTCAGTTCTTTGAAGGCGATAGCTGAGAGAGCAGCACTGGGATCAGGCCTGGATGGAGAGATACCCAACCTGCACCTAACAGACAGAGGTCGGAATGGTCAGGCATTATTTCTGCTCTGATTTACTGAAGAATGAAAAGCTTTCACATTGTAAATCTCCTATTGCTTGTATTCGTGCCAACATAATGTATTTAATCCTAAGCAAATGAACTTTAGTAGTAGATGAAAAAATTGCAAACATTACAAGCAGCTCATAGTAATAAGGGTCGAAACACACTATGATGCTGAAATTTTTCCAATTATTAATGAAATGGTTGTCAGTGATTACTGCCTTGCCAGTACAGTTGCTTGCTTCTGTTTCATATTATTGAAAAACCAGAGTATGTGAGCATATTTTTAATACTTTACCCAGTCAAAACTTAAAATTGTAGTCAACAACCAAGACCGTTGTTGGTTGCAGCCCAGCTGTAGAGCTGAATACAAGTGCTTGGTAAAGTCTACATGAAAAGATCTCCTTAAATTACAATAATATGCAGCAGAGGGCAGTTCTTAAAGAGACTGGTTAGAGTCAGTAGTGTAATTGATGTGGCCTTTCACTTTTTCTTCATCCTGTAGATATTTTCTCTAGTTCGTCTGCCGCACCCGGCACGCCTGCTGCTCCTCAGCCATCCATATCAGAGGTCAGCATCCCCCCCTCGCTTGGGGTCTGTCCACTGGGCCCCACCCCTCTCCCCAAAGACCAGCTCTACCAGCAGGCCATGCAGGAGTCTGCATGGACACACATGCCACATCCCTCTGACTCTGAGAGAATCAGGTAAAAAGCAGCACAGTTTTTTATAGCCAAATATGCTGCATCTTGTTTTGTTTCATCTTAGGATACAAACATGCTTCACTTCAGAGGTGTTCCATAAATGCAGACCTGCCAACTTTGAAGGAAGCCTTGCTTTGCCACACAGATATACATTATTAGTCTAACATTAAAATCAGTCTCAAATTTCCACATCCCCCAAGTCTTTTCCCCTTTTCAAATGAGTTCAAAGAACCATACTCACCATAAGAACCAGCGGGAGTGAGGCGTTGGAGTGAGAGGGATAAAATCAAGGTCAGCATGTTTTTGTTGATTTATGGATCCTAGCTACTGTCCCTTGAAAAGACATTACCAACACACTTTATCACAATGTTTGTCTGCTACGCAAAATGCGTACATGTTGGCAGGTCTGCAGATCACTTCAGTGACTTGTAAGTTGTAATAAATTGATAATGATGAATTAAAGGATAATGCCAGTGATAACATGTTTCCAACATGTTTTGCACAAATTCCATACAGAGACTAAAACCAACAACAGACTGTGTACTCACCATATGTCCAAAGCCTGGTGTAGCGTATTTGTCTGTGCTGAAGAGTTTACATCACTGCCCTAGCTTCTCACGCTACACATAACCTGAGAGCAGATGCACATGTGCAGTTGTCTCTCTTACTTCAGACACAGTAAAAAGTAATGGCCATTCTTAGCTCCTAGCTTTTGGAGCTCCTTTTTGGAAAAGACATACCTCACACATGTAGTCAGGAGGAAATATATCACCCAGTGCAGATCACTAGTGTGTTTTTAAACAACAATGGAGCCAGAGATGAAGATAAAACAGGTTCTGGATGCACAGACATGATGGTTAGTATGAGAAATTCATTGTTTATTTTGTCTTTGTGTGGAGTTTGTGGAGGGGGAGGGAAAAAAATAAAAAAAGGAAAAGAAAGACAAAATCACTGACCATACACTGAAAACGGTATGTTTTTCTATCCTGGTTTAAAGACTTTTAGACAACTGATATTATACTGAACTGATTTTTTCCCTTCCCATAATAAGACTAAACCTAACAAATGGTCCCTCTGATAAGCTTTGTGTAGTTGTACCTTGATTGAGGTTAGTCCTCCATGCACTAGAGCTCCATTGTTGTCCAAAATGTATTAAAAACATTACTTTGCAATGCCATAACACTGGATAACATGAACATGGACACGGCAGTTTAATTTGGGTCAGTGACATATCCACCATCCTGCTGCTGTAAATACTCACTAGCACCAAATCTGCTGCTGAAAATAGTGCAACAAATAGAATTTCATGCATTTGAGTAACTAGTGTCCAGCTGTTGTAGGAGATGATGTACCATAAAAAAGCCACAGTATATTTGTAACCTTTACATCTTAAGCAATAACCAGCTGACTATGGAGCTGTTACAAAGAACATTTGTGACTAAGAAAGACATTGTTCATTGTCTTTTGTTTTTTTGTGACATTTGTTAATAGTAACAAAAAATACTGAATATTGCCCACATATTTTTCCTTTAAAGAAACAGTTCCTAAACACTCCAACAATAACATCTAGTCAGTACTTTATGATCTGTATTGATAGATGCTGGTTTTCTTCATGACTAACTACAAGTATTTAGATTAATGTGAACTCACCTGTGGACCAGTTGTTTCTAATTCTGCTTCTGTTCTATAGGCAATACCTGATGAGGAACCCATGTCCCACCTTGCCTTTCCATCATCAGGTCCCACCACACCACTCAGATTCCATAGAGTTCTACCAGAGACTGTCCACAGAAACTCTCTTTTTCATCTTCTACTACCTGGAGGTAACCGTGCACCTGCTCCAGCCTGTCTGTCAATCTTGCTGTGATCTAGTAAAGTCTTGCTTGCATATCAGTTGTTTTTTTTGCCCTCACTCTCTCAGGGCACCAAAGCTCAGTATCTGTCTGCCAAGGCTCTAAAGAAACAGTCATGGCGGTTTCACACCAAGTACATGATGTGGTTTCAGAGGCACGAGGAGCCTAAGACTATCACTGATGAGTTTGAACAGGTGCATTTAAACAACAGTTCATTTCCACTGACACTAAGATACAGACTTGTATATTGCCTTGTGGTTTGTTGTGGTTTATTAATGATCATTTTATTCCACTCTGCCCTTCCTCCAGGGCACTTACATTTACTTTGACTATGAGAAATGGGGCCAGAGGAAGAAGGAGGGGTTCACCTTTGAGTACAGGTACCTCGAAGACCGAGACCTGCAGTGACGGCAGGAGGTACGCGAAAAGATGGGGACAGACAAAAACGTGCTGCTGTTGACATTCCGAGACTGAACTCCAAACTGTGGATAGAGATTGTGATGTGTATTAGAAACCCTCTCCTGAAATGGAGACTGGTGTCTGTGTAGGCTGCATCTCAATGTGAAGCCCTTGCTCCTCATGTCGTGCTTTGCTTTTGACAAAAATGCCCCATGGGCCTGATCAGAAGCATTGCTCTGCACAAGCTGGGAGGGTTCTCGTTAGAGATCTGCGTTTGTGCCTGTCTGTGTGCACACTCAGTATGTGGCATTAAGAAAGCCTACCCCCTGCATGTTTCTCATGTTTTTGTTTTCTTTTTCCGTTTCAAGATTCTCTGTACCACCTACCCAACATGAGCCTGGAAGCCTTTGACTTGACACAAAACCTTGAATTTGATGGTTAAGTAAACTGCCCATCTCGTATTTACTGTAATTTGGTGGTTTAGAATGGGGGACATACAGCGGACATTTAGTCATGGCGTGTAGGAATGGCTTCTTTTGAGATCCTACGATGCCTGTTGAATATGGTCACTATTAGGGATAGTGAGCAGTTATCAATAGTTTTATTGATATTGTCTTGGTCGATTAAAAACTGATTGAGAGTGACCACAGGGCCTCTCCCTGTGACA